TTTGGGAGGCAGAGGCAGGTGGATTTCTGTGAGATTGGGGTCAGCCTGGTCTACATAGTAAGTTCCAAGGCATCTGGGGCTACAAGTAAAAGAGATCTGTCTGTGTCAAAAACAAAACAAAAAGTTATTTGGGGGGGTGCTAGAAAGATGGCTCAGCAGTTAAGAGCACTTGGTGTTCTTGCAGAGGTCCCAAGTTTGGTTCTTAGCACCACATGGTGCTCACAACTGCCTGAAACCCAGTTCCAGGGAATCTTATGCCTTCTTCTGACCTCCACAGACACAAGGCATGCAGGGAATCTTATGCCTTCTTCTAGCCGCCACAGGCACAAGGCATGCACAAGGTGCACATACATATATGTAGGCACTCACACATGAAACAAATCTTTAAAGAAATAAAATTTAAAAATTACTTTTCAGCCAAGCATGGTGATGCACACCTTTAATCAGAGGCCAGCCTGGTCTCAAAACAAAAACAAAACACAAAACTTAAAGTTACTTATCATAAAATGTTATTCAACATCAGTAACCTATCCAATTGCTTTTTAATTTAAAATGAATTAAAATTATTTATTTATATCTGGTCATAGTGGCACACACCTTTAATCCTAGCACTTGGGAGGCAGAGAGAGGCAGGTAGATCTTTGTGAGTTCAAGGTCATCCTGGTTTACCTAATGAATTCCAGGCCAGCTGGGGCTACAGGGAAACCCTGTCTCAAAAAGACAAAAAAATTATTACTTTTGTGTGTATGAGTGTATTGCCTGCATATATATAAGTGCACCCATGTCACGTAATGCCTATGGAGGTCAGAAGAAGGTGTCAGATCCTCTGGTACTGGAGTTACAGATGGTTGTTAGCTGCCACGTTAGCTGCTGGGAACCAAACTCAGGTCTTCTGCAACAGCAGCCAGTGTTCTTAACTGCTGAGCTATCTCTCCAGCTAAAAATTAATTATTTTAAAAAACTCTTAAATTACTTGAAAAAATTAGCCCTCTAACTTTATGTATTTATATGTCTATATTCATAATATGTATTATAAAAAAAGCTGTTTGGTATCTCCCTTTTTTTTTGGTCTTTTTGAGACAGGGTCTCCCTGTAGCCCCAGCTGACCTGGAACTCACTACATAGACCAGGCTGGCCTTAAACTCACAGAGATCCACTTGCTTCTGCCTCCTGAGTGCTGGGACTACAGGTGTGCGCCATCATGCCCAGCTTGGCATCTCCTTTTTTAATGTTTTAGTTTTATTTATGTTTATGTGTGTATGCCTTGTATGTGTGTGGGTACCCGAGGAGGCCAGAAGGTGTCAGGTTCCTTGGAGCTGAGTTACAGGTAGTTGTTTGATACCCAGAGTCCAGGTTCAGGCCAACCCCAGCCTCCTGAGCTTGCAAGGCTCCATGAAACTCAGGAACTAAGCATAACTGTTGACCATCTTGCATGTGTTATAGTATATGAAGTGTCCTTCCACAGGCTCATTTATTGGGGGATGGTTTGCCATCAGATGGGGCTTTAAGGAAGTAATTGGTTCCTTAAAGATCTAAATCAATATATTAGCTTCTTGGTGGATTTGCAATATGATGGCATTACTAGGAGGTGGTGAGAAATAGGACATGGCACTAAGGCAGAAGTAGACACTGGAACTGTGTCCTTGGGGGACTGTGTCTGCTCTGATCCCATTCTGTGTCCTTTTTTCTCTGCTTCTCGTCCACTATGAGGTGAAGAGCCTTTCCCACATGCTTCTTGCCTCTGTTATATTTGGCCCCAACCATGGGCCCAGAATCAGTGTGAGCCAAAATAAGTAACTCCTCCCTTAAGTTGTTCTCTAAGGCAGTCTGATCATAGGAATCAGTAGCTGACAAGAATTGGTGGCATATCCTTAGGGGCTGTATCTTACCCTGGCCCCTTCCTTTATTCCCTTTGCTTTCTGTCTGCCATGGTATGAGCTGTCCTGCCATGTTTCCGAACTATAGTAAACGGAAATCTCAAAACCATGAGCTAAATGTCTTCCCTTCTTTTAAGGTACGAAGTGTCAGACATTCTGTCACACAGATGAGAAAGGTAACAGAAAAATTGTACTGAGAGTGGAGTTGTTGCTGTAACTTTACCTGATAATGTGGTTCAGAAGCCTTCGGAATTGTTATACAGGAGGAATTTGGAAACATCTGGAGACACAGGCTGGAGTAGCCCTGGAATGCTGTGAGCGGTGTAGTGGCAATTCTGGTGGGAACTTGGAGGACCATAATATTGATGTGAGCGTGGACAGTGAAGTCAATGCTCATGAGGCTTTCAGATTCCCAAGAGTGAAATTCTCTTGGGAATTGGACTTCTGACAAAGAACTTTGTTTGCATTCTTAGACAAAAATGTAATAGATAAAAAATGCCCTAAGATGTTGTGGGAAGCTGAATTTGGATGTAATTGGCTAATTAATCTGGTATTAATATGTGGTTATTGCCTAGTGCTCTTAGTCAATGTACAGCAAGAACAGGAAGTAGTGTACAGAGTGGAAACAGCTGAAAAACAGTTGAGTCAAAACAGGAGTTGGGCCGAAAAACGTGTCAAAAAGATTAGGACCATTAAGAAGACGTGCTTCAGGACAACAGGAAAGAAGATGACTTGAGGCCATCTCAGGAGTCAGTGCAACCCCATCTATCACCATCTCAAGGGGGTAACTTGCAGCTCTTGAGAAGACAGAGCACCCTGCTCAGTCAGGGCTAACTAGCAAGTTGTTTACCCATGATTTATCTCTAAATGCTCAACTGTCCAGGCACTCAGTGTGGCGAGGTCAAAAAGGGTTCCACTTGCACTGGTGGTAGATCTTGGTGACACCCATGCTGACTGTGTAGGCATGCAGGGTGCAATGGTTGCTTTTAATGGCAACTTGTCAACTTGCCACTTAGACTCACTCATGAGTGGGAAGCCTCACTGAAGCTTTATCTTAATTGATACAGGCTTCTTACCCCCAATGTGGGCAGCACCTTCTGGTAGCGCCCCAGATAAGGGGTGTGGCAGAAGGAAGTATTTGCCTTTTGCTTGTTGGTCTCTCTTCTCATAACCATGGTGGCACTATTGAGAACTGTGTGAAAGGGGAGACTTTCTTAAAAAGGGGAGTTTTGGGGGGAGATCTCAAGCCTTGGGGTTGACCTAAGGGGAGAAACACTGGGTAGTGCCAGGACCTCCTCCCAAGACCCAGAAAACTACCACAGCTCCAGGGAAGAAACCAAAGGGCAGACCCAAAAAACTGAAGGAAAAGGAGGGCGTCGGGCAGGAATCCTTGGAGGAACAGTGACGGCACAGTACCACCCACTCTTGGTGGAAGTGGTTTTCCACTGGGATTGGACTCGCCACTCCCAGGTCCCTTGCCGCCCCACTGCAGCAGCTACAGGCTCTGTGAAGCCCCTGGTGCTCTGTGGGGAGGTTTCGGCTCAATCCCTGTGCTTTCCCTCTCCTGGCAAGGATAGGGGTCCTTCCCTTGGTGACTCTTTGGACCCTTGCTTTGGGGACCCTTTCTGCTCTCTGCCGTTCCTGGCGTCCTTGTAGAGGGGCCTGGAAGTACTCCCTGGCCTTAAGGGGTTCCAGCCCCCTCCCCCCCAACAAGCCCCATTGGACGAACTGGAAGCTGCAGTCAGTGCTAGTGCAGGGGATGCCCCCAATCAAACTGTCACAAGTGGAGCTCTTGGCCATTTCCTCCCCATCTTACCTAGTCCCTGCACTAAGGTTGGGTGAACACCTTGGGCTATTATTACTAGGACAGTAGGATATGAGTTGGGCCACATTCAGCTTGCCTTCACCCGGGATCTGGTACACTACAGTGACAGATGGTATCACCACCAGAGCTCCAGGCCACCTAAGGTAGCTCGGGAGCTGTCACCTCCCTGCTTCCACTGTAGGCTGTCTCCCTTCCTGCAGTGGGGCACTAATGAAGAGCTAGCCCTGCTTCCCTCTCCTCTCCATCCCAACATTCTGATTCATCTTTTCTTCTGGTCACAAACTACCTCTGAACAGTTGTGTTTTTCTTGTTCAGTGTTCATTCTTAGGCACCCACCATCACTGCTACCAGCAACAAATGTTTCCCGTTTCCCCAAGATAACTCTAAGGGAAAAGGGCTGGGGCACAGCAGGCTGGGTTACAGATCTCTCCAGGGAAGGTGGGGCCCTGCCCCTCAGATGCTGTAGCAGTGAGAAGGCAGGCCTACCTGGATCGGAAAGGTGTAGAGGCCACCTTTCCTCCTTGTTCTGTGGGGGAGCAGGTGGCTGTTCTTTGTCCTCCCCCTCCCCCACCCCGTTTCCCTATTTGCAGTTACTTGAATAAAAATATAGCCTTTTCTGGAAGGAAAAAAAAGTAAGGGGCGGGGCATAGCTGAAGGAAGAATGTCATTAGGGTTGTGTCCTTGGAGCCCCATCTTGCTCTGGTTCCTTTCTACATCCCCTTTTCTGCTTCCTGTCTGTAATAATGTGAGCTGCTGTACCATGCCCTCCCTGACCTAACAGACTGAAATGTCCAAAACCATAACAAATAAATCTTCCCTTATTTTTTTATTTATTATTTTTTAAATTTTACGTGTATGTGTATATTCCCTGCATGTAGGTAAGTGCACCCGTGTCTCACAATGTCTGTGGAGGACAGAAGAGACTGTCAGAGCCCCTGAAACTGGAGTTATGGACAGTTGTTAGCTGCCATGTGGGTGCTGGGATTCGAACCAGGGTCTTCTGCAAGAACACTGTTCTTAACCGCTGAGCCATCTCTCTAGCCCCAAATTTTCCCTTATGTAAGTTTTTCTGTCAGGCATTCTGTCCCAGTCATGAGAAAGCTTATATTTCTGCAATTGTTTTCAGTTATGAAATGTTCTCTTACCTATCAGTAAAAGTCTTTTTATTCAAACATCAAAATTGTTATTGATGCATAAACATTTTAAAACTTGTTAACCTGGCTAGCTTCAAGATCAAGTCCTTATTTTCCACTGATAAGGTTAATTTTACATGAAAAAGAAAACAAAGACTGCACTACTTACTAATGTATTGTACTTTAATAGAAACATAGCTTATACCACCCATTGAAAAAGCATTTTAATATAAACATCACTTATACACAAAAACAAATTATATTGATATTATAATTTTAAAAAACTCTTGGTTTATCTAAAACAGTTAGGATGCAACCTCAACAGTGATTGCTTCACATTTTCCAGTCTCTTGATCCGTGCATGTCACCTGTAAAGATCCATCCCTAAAAAAACAAATGACATTTTTTAAGCTCACTTTATAAAAACAACGTCCTTACGGGGGACTAAATAAGACTTTGTTGTAATTTTCAAAAGTTTTATTCAGATAAGAATAAGCACATGTGCAGAGTCTTTAAATTTGGCATGTGCTACTGTATTTAGGAAGTTCTTAGAAATTACCTTCTAGACCATTGAGATGCCTTGGAAGTCCAAGGTGATAAATGTTTAAGACTTTATACAAGCTCATGGTAAAGCATGCCAGTTTCAAGCTCAGGCCATCGTAAGCCATCGAATTGAGTTTGATATTCTTGCTAAAGGTGGATTATAGAATATAACGTTAATTTGGAAAGGATTTACTTGTAATAAACAGTGGTACGATGGCCAACTGGGAAAGAAATGGCAATAGCTGAATTTAATCAGTAATTTACTTCCTACAGCTTCTTTGTAGTAGTAAGAGTTTGTAAAATATCATAAAGCAAATTACTTGATATACGCTTTGTAAAATATAGTAAGATTTCATAGTGGAAAATGTGATTCACTAATAAAATCTTTCAAGTCTTTAATAAATCATTTGCCTAGAATGATAATGGTTAAACAAGCAAACCACACAAGAGGGCTCAGGTTTCAAAAATGATCATAATATTGAAAGCATTTAATTTTGTACCTTTTCATAGTAAGAACAGCTAATATATCACGTAATCCATTTTCTTTTTTACCTAAATCCTGGAGTACAACCTGTTTGTACCAAAGAAACAAAACAAAACAAAAACAACAACAAAAAAACAAAGATGATTCAGTACTTTTTAGTGTAAAGGATCAAAGCTTACTTTTTAACCAAAGCAAACCTTTTAAAATAGGGCAGTTTTCAATTCACTTCCCATTTCCACAGAATTGGGATGAGGCAGTTAAGCTTTATTAAGTATCAGCACCTTCTTTGATGGAGGACATAGAAGACAATGAATGTCTTAGTCCCTTGCATTTGCCACATCAATTAAAATATTTTTTTCTAAGAAGGACTGTTCATCTGAGAAAACAAAGATCATTATTACTATTATTACTATTTGGGTAATTAAACCACTACCAGTAGTAACATACAAATTATGTTCTGACATACTTTCTATATATACTTGTTAAAAAACTAGCCATTATAAATATACTTGGAAAGCTACCAACTTGAAAGAAATATGTGGCATTTTTTTGTTTGTTTGTTTTTTTACAACTGATTTTTGTCAGTACAAGATGTTATGAACTTTCATAAAATTCCTTGGTTTCTCAAAGACAGGTATTCCAGTAAATCAAACGTGGAGTTTGGCATGACTTCCCAGACTTTGCCAAGATCAAGTTTAATGACCTTAAGTGAGTCATTATCCTGTTTGATTCTTCTGTAAAAAGTGGTGGTTACAACATATGAGAACATGGAAAGATTCTCTTCTAAACTGAGGGCTACATAACTAATTCTTCTGGCATTTTCTTTAAAATCTTACATCTTATTTATTGTGCATGTGGGAGTGTATACATGCCCATGTGTGGCAGTCAGAGGACAACTTGTGGGAGTCAGCTCTCTTTGAATTCAGACCGTCAGGCTTTGACCTGCTATGCTGTCTTGCCAGCTCTCTCCTGGCATTTTTGAGTTAGTATATGATGGTAACAAGTACAGAGTCTAAGAGTCCCACATGAAGGAGGAGGTAAGGAATGAATGAGAGACCAGGCAAGGGGGATACTAAGGCTGCCACTTAAGATTAGGAAAGGGCCTATACTACATAGTAGATTAGCTGCATGTAAATAAAAAGTCTGTGGAGGTCAGAAGCGGTTGTGGGATTCCCTGGAACTAGTTATGGACAGTTGTTAGCTGCCAAGTAGGTGCTAAGAACTGAACCCTGGTCTTCTGCAAGAGTAGCCAGTGCTCTTAACTGATGAGCCATCTCTCCAGCCCCTGGAGGAGCTTTTAAAACTACCAACAGATGCCAAGTTGGTAGTCTGAGGTGCAGCTCAGGCCTGCTAGGAATCTGTACTTTCAATATTCTTTTGCTGGGGTTAGAATATAAGTATAAGCACACCTAGCTATCTCCTCACTAATAAACATCACCTCTGCCCAGACATATTCCAGTCTGGTTCCAGAAATTCTTCTGAATATAGATATTAAAAACAAATATATATTCTTTTGCTACCTACACTGGTTTCATTTTAACTATAAAAAGTAATTCATGACCTGTCTCCCTGAAAGTAATTCACGCTCATGTCCTATGTTGCTCATAAAAAATTTGGTAAAAAAAGTAAAAGAAAAACAAACAAAACCCTGACCCATTCTGGTACCCTAGAACCTATCTACCCACTGTTAAATTTCTGGAATATTGTTTATTTATTCCCCTATTCCCTTCTCCTCCCCGCCTAAGTACTGGAATTACAGACTCCTATATTTTCTTCTTCTTTCTAAAAATAATTGTTTTCCCTCATTTTCTTTTTTCTTTCTTGGCAGTGCTGGGTATAGAACCCAGAGCCTTGAACAGCATCCAAATATTCTACCACTGAGCTACACCTCAGCCCTCAGTTACAGCTGGCCGGCCCAGAACTCAGTGTGTAGATCAGGCTGATGTCTATCTCACAGAGATCCATCTGCCTCTGCCTCCTGAAAGCTGGGATTAAAGGCACGTACCACTATTCCCCAGGTCACAAGTCAGTTTCTTAAGCATTTCTAAAATGCACTTAATTTTACTATACCATTAAAAAAGTATTTTAACAACAATTTTTATTATATTTATCTATCTCTATTTACTTTTAAATTTACTCTGTGTGTATGTGCATGTATCATAGCCCACATGGGTGGAGGACAATCTGCAGGCATCAGTTGTCTCTTTCTACTATGTGGGTTTTAGGAACCAAACTCAGGGCATCAGGCTTGGCAGCAAGCACCTTTACCTGCTTAGCCATCTCACTGGCCCACTTCATAGCATTTTGAAATATGTTTATAAATTACCTCATATAGCACCTGACATTTAGCAAACAAAAAATGTGATCTTGCCCTTCCAGTTACCTAATTACTAGGATTGGCCAAAAGTGCAGAGAAGCAGTATATATACAAACTGCATTTTGTTTTTTCCCCAACAAAATTCCTTTCAAGTTCAAGATCATTTATTTCTTCCCACATTAAAAAATAAGCAGAAACAATTTGTTCATAAAAATGTTAGTGACTATACATATTTTGTATTGAGATGTTAAACTGAATCAACTTCAGAAGAAAAAGTTAAGTATTAATAGTTGCCTATGACTAAGTCAGTGTCTAATTTTGTGCATTTACCTGTGCAAACTTAGTTTCTTCTTTAGCAGAGTTTTCCCCTTCAGACTCATAGAGTTCAAGGCATACTGAAGATATACTGCCAGGGGCTTGTAAAGTGTGCTGTCTTCGGGCTGGCAGAGGAGTCCCAGATGGAAACAGTACTGTGAATCTGTTGGCACCTGATTCATCTACTCCCTGGGAAGCAGGAGAATAAGATTAGCATTCTTTGGCATTACAAATAAAAAAGTTTCTATTATAAACTCCCTTTACTCATTGCTATAATTTAAATACATAGCCCTTGCTGACTATCTGGAAATTAGAAAAAAACGAAAAAAAATAGATATAACTCTCAATCCCATCTTACTGTGTTTAGTAACATTGACATATAGCTCTCTCTAAATTAGAAGCTGATGTTTAAATTTATATTTAACTTTAAATTTACTAGAAAATTAACATGTTAGATAAACATTAACTGAAAGAACATAAGGAACTCCTAATTACTAATCTTTTTAAAAATATTTATTTTTAAAATTTTATGTGTATGAATATATTGCCTGCATGTATGTGAGTGCACCGTGTCATGCAATGCCGTGGAGGTCAGAAGAGGGCTTCGGAGTCCCCTGGAACTGGAGTTAAGGATGGTTCGTAGCTGCCATATGGGTGCTGGGAATCAAACCCAGGTCCTCTGCAAGATCAGTTAGTGCTCTTAACTGTTGAGCCATCTCTCCAGCCCCTATGATTACTAATCTTTTAAACTTAAAATCTTTACTGTATGCAGCTGGGCATGGTGACACATGCTTATAATCACAGCACATTTAGGAGGCACAGACAAGTGGATCTCCATGGGTTTGGTTTACATAGTTCTAGGCCAACTAGGGTTATATATGGTGAGACTCTCCCCCCAAACGAAAACAAAACGCACACAAAAACAAACAAAATCCTTTACTGTATGCAAGGCTTATAAATTGAGATATAAATGAAAACTTACACCAATTTATTTGTAGTACTTTTATGGAAAAGTACAGAAAACTAAACATACCTTAACTAAAATATCCTTGGCTGAACACTCTATCAAAAGAGAGTCATCTAATAATGTATTTTCTCTCCCAGTAAGGATCCCAGCTTCTATAGCTGCACCGATAGGGATAACCTCATCTGGAGGGATGGAGCTGAGAAGCTCCACAGCTGGGAAAAGATCTTTAATCAGCTGCTGTAGCCTTGGGATTCGAGAAGACCCTCCACAAAGGACAACCTAGAAAACAGGAAGAGCTGTCAGTGGTTTACTTTTATAACAGGATGAGCCATCTTTATTGCATGTAATGGTAAAGTACAAAAAGACCTGTATTTTGATACATGTTATTTAACATATAAACACATTTTTTTACTCTCAACAAATTTAAAATGTAGCAATCATACTACAAAATTCAGTATGACAGTATATATTTGGCTTATGATTAATAAAGAACATGAGGTTGATTAGGAATAACATTCTCTACTACAACATTTTACAAGAATTGTTTACATAAATCTACATCATTTATGTGACAAAAGTAAACACTGCCCATCTTTCTGTAAGAAAACTATATGACAGACTTTTTGCCTCCACTGTGGAAGAAGAGTAAGAACTTGGAGAAAAAAGAGACAAAAATATGTTTTAAGTTCTTGGTATGTTATCTCACTAACTCTCTTCTCTGGAGAGTTTCATATAAAACTCTGCTTTATAAATCCCCCAGGGTTTTCCTCAGTTCCTCCAAATAGCACCAAAGACCCTGTGGACACACAGAATGCTGAACATATAACACACACAGCTCAGGAAATCATCAATAGCTATGTATTTCATAGTATTTTAGTGGATTGTTTTCAAAATTCAAATGTGACACAGAAGACCAGTTAGCACTATCCTCTTCATTGTGTGGTGTAAAACAAGGGACACTGTTACTAATCTGCAGATGAGGGCAGGAGAAACATCAGGTGATAGTTTTTTTTTTAAAAAATAGGTTTATCAGTAGTAAGAAAAGTTTTTCCTAAAACTAGGTAAATACCACAAGAACAAAATATAGACAGTCTTTTCAATTTTCTCATATTCCACTAAGAGTTAAACTAACAAACTGTGAGTTAACACTAGCGCCTCCCCTCCTCAAAAGAAAAAAAAAAAAAAATCCTTGAAAATCTAGGTTTTTAGTATTTTCATTTAAGGATGAAAAGTGCAAAGAATGTGTTGCTACTGACCTGATGCTGAGAGTAAACAGTAGGTTTTATAGGTTTTAATGCAAATACATTATTTATGTACCTAATCTGTAAAATGAAATTTCTTCTACAAACTTAAGTTTGAACAGAAAACTTACATTTCACATATACTATAGTGGAGGGGTGCGTGGGCAGATGTGTGTGTCTGTGTGTGTGTGTGTTTGGGGGGGATAGTGTTGGGAGCTGAGATAGGGTCTCAAGCAGCCCAGGCCCTGTGAAATCCCTGTGTAGCCAAGGAAGACCTTGAACTACTCCCGCCTCCACCTTCCAAGTGACAGCATTATTGGCATGTACCACCCTGCATATGGCAATAGTTAGCTATTCTTATTAATATAATTCTATGTGTTTCATGAAATAAAACATCTGACAGTGCAAATACCACGTATCTTTGGGTGCTTTTGTGAGGATTAAATTTTTTTTTTTTTTTTTTGGTCTTTTTGAGACAGGGTCTCCCTGTAGCCTCAGTTGGCCTGGAATTCACTAAGTAGACCAGGCTGGCCTTGAACTCATAGAGATCCACCTGCCTCTGCCTCTAGAGTGCTGGGATTAAAGGCGTGTGTCACCATGCCCACCTAGGATTAAATGTTTTAATGCATGTAAAGCCAAATCATCCACTGCCTACTTCCCTGTGAAAGGATTAGCTATTCCTATCCACTGTCTAGACTCTTAAGTAGGGCGAATTTCCCTGTACACTCTCAGGCCTGTCTAGTAGCCTGAATGTGAACATATTGTCATATCACATCTAAGCTTTAAAAGTAGCAGAGGTTCTCAAATGCTCTTTGTCTTTCGTGCTAACACAGGATAGGAACTGGTTAGTCCTTTAACCAAGGTCCTATTGGTGAGAAGCCAGAACAGCCACAGGGGTTGATCTCCAGCTACTATCCATTATCTATACATAACCTAAGTGAAGGGAAATGTTTGCTCTAGAAAATGACTGAGTAGAGAGTTCTGTAGCAAGATCAGCAAACTAAAAGCACAATTTCAGATTTTTAAGTTCTTAAAGGCCTACATCTTAGGAAAGGGATCTTTATTAACAATTTTAGTCTTAAGACTGTCCATGGAAGCAGTTTAGGGTTGTACTGTAGTGCCAACTAAATGGCAGAGCTCCATGACTAAAGCAGGAAGGGAGCTGACACAATTATCCACAGTATGGTCCATGCTGTGCCACAGGTGACATTCCATTACTGCTCTAACAACCTATAGAGTAAGGTGTAGTGCTTATTTCTAAGGTTAAGCATCATTCATTTTTAAAAAATGTTTTTTGAGATAGTTTCATACAGCACTAACTGGCTTGGAACTCCCTATGTAGACCAGGCTGGCCTTTGAACTTGCAGAGATCTGCCTCTGCCTCTCAAGTGCTAAAATTAAAGGTGTGGGCCACTATGCCAAGCTAAGTATCATCCTCTTAAAGGAGAAAAGGTAAGGCTTAGAGAATTAAGTTGCTGTTGTATAGCTACTCCAACTGAATTGAAATAGTAACTTCTATAGAGAACCCTTAAAACTCAGGGGTTAAGAGGTCCTCCTGCAGAGGACCTGGTTTCAGTTCCCAGAACTCAACATAGTAGCTAACAACTCCAGTTCCAGGGGATCTGACACTCTCTTCTGGCCTTTACAGGCACTGCATGCATGGGTGCACTTATACACAGACAAAACACCCACACACATAAAAATAAATAAATCCCCCCCCCCCCCAAAAAAACCCCCAAAAAAAAAAAAAAACCCCCCCCCCCCCCAGAAAAACCCTCAGGAAACTAAGGAAACTTAACTAGGCTCAAAAAGTTACAAGATACACAGGGCCCTTCCTTAAGACTATATATGAGTAAACAATTGCTGGGGGTCAGGCAGCTCTTTGGTAGAGCTGCCTGCAAGTAGACATGGAGGTCCACGGATGCATCTTTCCTGAGTGTCACCCAGGCTGGGGCAAGGGCTTTTCCATGACACAGCTGCCAAGGGTCACCTGTAGTAATCCTAATAAACTCAGGAGAGACACTGGATTAAACTTGCCTCTATTTCTCATTAATTTCAGGATCTTCATTAACATCCTTAATTTCTGAACTTCAGTAACTAACTTACCAAACTGGGGTAGATCACAGTGAGTACTTCAGAGTTGCAGGTTAGCACTCAAAAAATTAGTGTGTACCCAGTGACAGAACACATTCAAATATCTGTCTCACATACTAAAAAAAAACATATATACTGGAGGAACTGTGTTTCCCAGAGCTAAATGGTCAAAATTCAGTAAATTTTCCCGATTTATTAACACAAGTTCTGAAAATACACACATAAAATATTTTTCTTTCCTATACTTAGGTGCTAGTTCCTAAATTACAAATCTGAAATTATTCCTAAAGCGATTAAGAAAATGTAGAAGTATTACCTTGCTGATATCATCTGCTGTAAATCCACTTTGATCTAAAAGTTCTCGGATTGCTTCTATACATTTATTAAAAAGTGGAGAACAAAGAAGTTCAAATCTTGCTCTGCACACACAAACACGGAGAAGAGAGACAAAGCAAGCTTAGTACATTCAAACTAACTCTTTATTAAAACTTAGTTCTCTGAAGGCCAGGTTTACCATTAGAGCAGGCTATTATTAAACAGTGCAATACTGTATCATGGAGACGAGCATGAGTTATTCATCTATACATGAATGAAGATATTTAACACTAAATTCAAGTGGAGAACTATTTTGACCAGTCTATTTACAAGATTTCCAAAAACTTAACTAACACTATATACCAAATATATAACATTCCCAACAATAAATCTACTGACCATAATAAAAACATCATTTGGAACATTTTGCTATTTTTATATGTTCAAGCTTTAACATAAAAATGTACTGCCTAATTTCATATTTTTCTTTTTTTAAAAAAGTGATCACACTTTACTAATAGCAACAAAACTCAGAAACCTCTAACTTAAATGCATATCAAGCCCTACAACCCGCCAGGAGTGGTGGCTCACACCTGTATGCCATCATAAATATATTTTTTCACATTTATTTATTTAGAGACAGTCTCACTATGTCACCCTGGCTGGCCAGGAACTCCCTATGTAGACCAATGCTGGTATTAAAGGTGTGTGCCACCACACTGGGCCTCTTGTTTACTTTATTTGCCTATGTGTGTGTGTGTGCACACAGTGTACATGTGGAGGTCAGAGGACAACTTGCAGAACTTGGTTTTTCCTTCCACCATGTGTGTCCAGGGAATTGAACTCGGGTTGTCAGGTTTGGCAGCAAGCGCCTTTACCTTCTGAATTATCTTGATAACCCATATTACTGTAAATGCAGTTGAGTGATTTTAAATTTGTTACCCACAGATATTAAATATACATTACATGGTTGAAATCTTCGAGACAAATTCACTATTTCCTTAATGAACACGACAAATTCTACTTCCTTTTACGTGCTGCTATGACTATGTAAACACATGCTCAGTGCCTGGACAAACTCAGCACGAAGGCATTCTCAAGACACAAAAGTAATATAAAGATTATCCACCTATAAAAAGATTTTCAGCGAGTCTTGGGAACCCCTGTCAGAGACACTACAGCACCAACAAGAATCGCTCAGAGGGCAGCAGAATGATCATCAACACTGAAGGCATCCTCATGTCCTATGATAATGTGGAACTTACATTCAATGACATCAAGAATGTGCCAGAGGCCTTCAAAGGGAAAAGAGAAGCACTGCCTACCTTATGCCTTATTCGGTCATCTTTCTATTTAAGGGGAAGGATGCCATGTGGTCTTTCATGATGCCATTTTATCTGATGAAGGACTGTGATAACAAGCAGCCAGTACTTGGTGCAAACTTCATTAAGGGAACAGGGTTGTGACCCATAACCTGCCACCTGCTGCTAGTTTTTAAGCTTCACGCCCCTGGCTGCACTAAGATTTGCGCTAGTTTGGTTTGTTCCTGGACTGGCCACAAAAATGAAGAAATGGTTATTTAAAGAGAATTCCTTATTTATTTGACAAAAATTTCCAGTTAACATATTAATGTGAAATAAACCCTGTCTGTACCTTGATGTGCTTGCTACAACTGTAAAATAGTAAAAATGAAGTAACTGGAAGAAAAAACATTCTCAATGCAATTTAACGTGTTTTCTACCTTTTGGATTGTGCCAAAAAGCTAGCTACTAGCCACAAAGTCTGTCTACTGAGTACCTGAACTGAAGCCAGAGCTACTGAGGAAATTTATTATAACTATAATTATCATCGAGACAGGGTCTCATTGTATAGCCCTGGCTGGCCTGAAACCCACTATGTAGACAAACCTGGCCTGGAACTCAAGAGAGATCTGCCTGCCTCTGGCTCCCAAGTGCTGGGATTAAAAGTGTGTGCCACCACGACCAGCAAGGAACTACATTTTTAATGTTACCCTCATCCAAAACGACTTTAGTATCTACCAATGACCATGGGGCAGGATGATCTAGGCTCTTCAGTAAGCCCAGAGAAAGTGAAGAGACTCAAATACAGAAAGAGAAATCAACCAAAAATAGTCAGTAGAATCAAAAAATAGCAATGCAGTAATCTTGGTAATTTTTACTGCGTTTCAAAGTAATGTGAATCTAACTAAAAATAGTTGTTAGTAAATGTACAACATAAGTGGCAGGGGTAGCATCTGTCCTTTGCTTTTTCTGGGTTAATGTACAATCACTTGTAGGCAATGTCTTAGATCATGTGAAAGGTGGACATTAAAAGCTGCTTATGCTTATTAAACCTATGTTCACTAATTGTCATAAAAATGAATAAAATGTAAAATACTGACTAGGGATGTGGCTAAGTTGGAAGAATGCTTGCCTGGCATGCATGAAACCATGGGTTCAATCCCTATCACTGCACAAACTTACTGTGTGGCCCAGTTTATAATCCCAGCAGTGGGGAAGTAGAGGTGGGAAGATAAAGAGTTCTAGGTCATCCCCAGCTAACAGTGAGTTAGATGCCAGCTTGGGCTACATTTAAGATTCTATCTTAAAACATAAAAAGGAGCTGGGGAGATGGCTCAGCGGGTAAGAACAGTGACTGTTCTTGCAGAAGACCCGGGTTCGAATCCCAGCACCCACATGGCAGCTAACAACTGTCCATAACTCCAGTTCCAGGGGATCCAACAGCCTCTTCTGTTTCTACAGGCATTGCATGATACAGGTGTACTTACCTACATGCAGAAGCAGGCAATACACACATACACATATAATAAAATTAACAAAAAACCCTAGGAGCTGCAGAATGGCTCAGTGGTTCAGAGCACATAACTGCTCTTGCAGAAGCCATATTTGGTGGTTTGAAATTACCTTTAAGTAATTAAAGGCTCTAGGGTTCTGATGCCCTCTTCTGGCCTCCCTTGGCACCTGCACTCAGGTGCACACATCCCTCATATACAGACACACATAAATTAAAGCTATCAAGTGAGAAAATACATATGCCTAAGATACTCCTAGAATATTTTAATTTCTTTTGAATCTAGTTTTACCTGGACACATTGCAATCAAAATCCTGACCTTCATACAATGAATCTAGGAAACAGTTGGCACTTCCCAAGGTTGACAAAGAATGTTTGGCCACTTCAGCACTGTTCATCAGTTTCATCATGGCTCGGGCATTTCCCCTCACATCATGTTTGAACAACCTAAAATCATAACATTTGAAGTTAATGTTCCTAGGTCATTTAGAATTTAATGCCTCTAAAATCTAAATCATCACTATTAGAGCAATAATGAATTCATGACTCCATATTACATTCCAGATGTAAGTAATTAAGTAACCATAATAAACTGTACTTTTGATATCACAGATAAAATTTATTGTGTGATAATTAGATTGGAGATTTATTCAAGTGGGTTAGTTTCCTACCTGTTTTAAAATCACATCAGAGGCACTCTTTATGGTATAAAGTATCTGTTGAATATTAAAAGTGTAAGATGCTTCCTCAAAGAAACCAGATCCACACAAAACATGTAAAATTAAAGTCTATCTAACTCAATGTGGGTTTATTTTTAAACTTCTTGCTAAGTAATGGTCAATTGTTTTGTTAAAACAATACTTTTTCACAATAAAAAGGTTTTAACTAACAAGTGGGAATCACCACCACTTTAAAATTGTTGTTTTTTTTTTTCCTTTTTGAGACAGGGTCTCCCTGTAGCCCTGGCTGGCCTGGAACTCACCATATAGACCAGGCTGGCCTTTAACTCACAGAGATAGGTCTGCCTCTGCCTCCCGAGAGCTGGGATCAAAGACGTGCACCACAATGCCCAGCCAAGAAAAAAATTTTATTCTGTTTTTGTGCATTTCATATAATGGATCTTAATCAAACTTGACCTCCTCCTCCATCCACGTCCCCGCCACCCCAGCCCCTGAAATCTTTTTTTTTTTTCGAGTCATAAAATCTTTACTGAGCTCAAACCAGGAGTCCATTGGTTTCGAGGACCTCTGTGAACAAACTTCTCCTTCTTTTCAGCTTGCTTCCGCAGACAGGTGAGCTGCTGCTTCTTTCGGTAGTGGACCTTGGCCTTCTCCTTCCACTTCCCTCAGGGTGGAGGTCACAGCCTGGTATTTCCAGCCGACCTCAGGAGCCAGATGTCCCAGGGAAGCAAACTTCTGATGCACAACCTCGAGGGCTGCAGGGACCACCATCTGCTTTTTCTTGTCATAGGTGGGGGGGATCCCCTCGAACACCTGGAGGCACTCCAGGGCAGGCTGGCCTCCCTCAGTCTTGTGGGGCAGCACGCCTCCCACAGTCTTGTGGGGCAGCATGCCTCCCACAGTGCGCCAAAGATGCGGCTTGGAACCCGGAAGTGGAAGGGACCACAGGAAGGATTGGTATTCATCATTTTTCGGAGAAAGGCCAGGTACTTTAGCTTATTTCTGTAGATACTGCCAGAAATGTTGATGCCCTCACGGAGCACAACCACCACCTTCCGGCCCAGCAGGATCTGCTTGGCCACAATGGCCGCTAGGCGGCCCAGAAGATGGCCTCGTCCATCCAGCACTAGAATCTGCCCCTCCACATCTTCGGCAGCTGCCTGGAAAAACGAAATCACCACTTTTTAAAAAGTCAAGTTTGGCTTCAACTTCTGGATCATGGGTCCACCTCTGCCTCCTGAGTACTGAGATTCCAGATGTGCATTAGCCAGCCTGGTTTAAAATGATCACTTCTGGGGCTGGAGAGATGGCTCAGAGGTTAAGAGCACTGACCGCTCTTGCAGAGGACCCGGGTTTGATTCCACCCGCATGGTGGCTACAAACCGGCCTCAACTCCAGTTCCAGGGGAATCCGAAGCCCTCTTCTGACCTCGGTGGCACTGCACAACGTGGGTGCACTCACATACATACAAGCAATACATTCATACACATAAAATAAAAATGATAAATATCTTTTTAAAACATCACTTCTTCGCAGGGGCTCGTGGCCCACGCCTTTAATCCCAGCACTCGGGAGGCAGAGGTAGGCGCATCTCTGTGAGTTCAAGGCCAGCCTGGTCCACATCGTGAGTTCCAGGACATCTGGGGCTACAGGGAGACCCTGTCTCAAAAAGACCAAAAAAAAAAAAAAAAATCACTTCTTTAAAACTTTTAGTGGCAACATGTAAAGTATAACATTTTTACATTTGACCTCTGATTATGTCCAAAGTTAACATGCAATTACACTAAGCAACAAGTATTATTTCTATGGTATTCCTTATGTGGATTAGTAACTAAATACTAAGACATTAATTTACTGGACTATGGTGAAAAATACTTCATTCTTTACCAGACCCAAACTTCTATAACCTGTTGGAAGTGTGGCCTCAGTACCTAGACTGTGCTTCATTCTCCAGAATCGTACACGATTTAAAAGGCAACTCTGACATCCAAGTTCTGCAGAGGACAGTCCCTTCTGCACTATGTGAGCGGGGTAGCTGGGCCTCTGCTTTTCAGGATATTGTAACTCCACAGATGAAAATACCAGGTTTATATGCAATGGCAACACACTCTTTCCTTTGCAGAATAATAATTTAAAATAAATTACAGGGAGAAAAGAACTTTTCTTTATCAAAATGAATTATTCAAGGCTAAGTGTGGTGGTACGTACCTATAATCCCAGCACTCAGAAGGCTGAGGCAGGAGGATTTTGAATATGACCCTAGCCTGGGCTACATAGCAACATTCTATCTCAAAATACAAAACCAGAAAGGGACTTGGTGGCACAGTGCTTGCCTGGGCCTTAAAAAGAAAAAAAAAAAACCTTACTCAGGCCATTAATACTCACCTCTGGAACTCAGAAGCCAGATACTGGGCTAAGGTTTCTGTGAAATGTGCGCCCCCAATGTGATCATCAGTGTTTGTTGAAAGAACCCGATACATTCCACTGTTAACTTCCACCACACTGAGAGACAATGATGTTCCTCCAAGCTTAAATACCAAAACATTGCTTCAAGACAAAGAGAAAAATGGGTAACTCATCGGTGAATGGTAATACTTTAAAGCCAGCCTGTACTTTAATGTGTTTAAATTACAATGAGGAAATAATTTCAGATGAGTGACCGAGTTCTAAGTAGTCACTCACTGGTGAATTCAGCCTTGAGCTCAGACCTAAAGCCAAATCAATGTTCTTTTTACTTAAGCAGAGTTCAAAACAGCGACTTTTCAAAGTAAATTAAAGAGATTTATGATTGTTATGAATTTTAACAGAATCAAATATAAAAACCCTATGTTAATATTATACAAACCATTTCAGCACTCCATGAACCTAAAACATGGAATACTATAAGCCAATTTCTTATTTTCCGTGTATTAAAATTCATAATTTCCAATATTTTATGCTTATCTAGTTACCTAAAAATAATTTCCTAGTGACTTATGCATATTGGTTTCTCTGTGAAAAACTGAATGGGATGAAACAGGGAAAGTTAACACAATTTCTGAATTAATCTCTCGAAATGTGCATGGCCATGAGATCCGCTAAGACAAATGTAGACAGCTAAATTAGAAATAAGCGTTATCTTCCTATTTCACCACCAAAAGAAGCCTTGCGTCCTCATGCTGGATTTCCTCTATCTCCTGCCACATCAAATACACATAAATAATATACACTGTGTCTAAACATGTCTAAAATCTGGAACTGGTAGTAAGACAGTGCCTAGCTTCAGCTGGACCTCAGAGAGGTCTATAATTACCCAATGTTCCTTCACTAAAGAGACAGGATGAGGGTGACAGAAGATGATCTCAACTTCCGTCTTTCCCTGCCTCTTAAGTGCTTGAAAAAGCTGAAAAGCTCTAGGTGAAAGTTTCACATGTCTCTCATATGTAAAGGTTGGGCACCATTCTTAAGGACATACTTGCTATAATCTAAAATGTTTTCTGCACTGAAAAAGCATGTTTTTTTTTTTTTTTTTACCTCTTCCCAGTAGGCTGGTCTTGTCCAATCCCATAAGCAAGAAGGGCCGCAGATGGCTCATGTATTAATCGCAACACATTGAATCCAGCAGCTCCAGCTGCTTCTCTGTGAACAATTTGCTCTCATGAATTTAGTGTCACAACATGTTCAATTCTATACTTTTAGAGATGCTCTGCTAGCAAGTTTACACAATAGCAAATGAGATTTCATAAGCAGACCCAGAGTGCAATGACTGCTAGAAGCAGGAAATGCCCAGAGCCTATTTTCTTGATAAAACAGTATGTGCTGACACTGAATAAAAAAAGAATAAACTCTCAAGGCTGCAGGGGTGATGGTGGCTCAGTCAGTAAATGGCCTACTGTGTAAACATGAGAATTTGAGTTTAGATCTCCAGTACCCACATGAAGTCAAGTGTGGTGGTGCATTTCTGTAACCCCAGTGCTGTGTGTGTGTGTGTGTGTGTAGAGGAAGATCTCTGGAGCTTGTTGGGCTAGGCAGCCTAGGCAAAGGATGAGTGCCAGGTTCAGTGAGACCCGAGTGCGGTGTGTGTGTGTGTGTGTGTGTGTGTGTGTGTGTGTGTGTGTAGAGGAAGATCTCTGGAGCTTGTTGGGCTAGGCAGCCTAGGCAAAGGATGAGTGCCAGGTTCAGTGAGACCCGGTCTCAAAAGATAAGGTAAGGCTGGTGATGGCTCAGTGGGTTAAGAGCACTTTATTGCTTGTCTAGAGGACCCAAGTTCAATTAATTCCCAGCACCTACATCAAGTGGCTCACAACCACCTGTAACTCTAGCTCCAGGGGATCTGATGACTTCATGTGGTCTCTGGGGGTACCTGCACTCACATGCACAAATCCCTACCCCCACAACACACCCACAATTAAAAATAATAAAAATAAATCTTAAAAAAAAAGATCAAGGGGCTGGAGAGATGGCTCAGCAGTTAAAAACACTGGCTGTTCTTATAGAAGACCCAAGTTCGAATCCCAGCACCCACATGGCAACTAATAACTGTCTGTAACTCCAGTTCCAGAGGATCCAACAGCTTCTTCTGTTTTCTGCAGGCTTGCACGACATGAGTGTACTTACCCTACATGCAGGCAACTCCAGCCAGAGGATCCAACAGCTTCTTCTGTTTTCTGCAGGCTTGCACGACATGAGTGTACTTACCCTACATGCAGGCAATACATAAAATAAAAATAATAATTTTTTAAAAAAAGATGAAGTGGAGAGTGATTGAGGAAGACACTAGGTGTGTTTGCCTCTGGTCTTCACATGCACCTGCACACACACATGCACTACATACACACAGATACATACACAAAAGGAAAAAAACTCTAAAAATATCTGTTTGGGGCTGGAGAGATGGCTTAGCAATTAAGAGCACTGGCTACTCTCACAGAGAACTGGGGTTCAATTCCCAGCACCCACATGGTGGCTAACAACGGTCCATAACTCTAGTTCCAGTAATTACTCCAGTCATCGCACAAACACCTTTGAAGATTAAATCTAGCATTTCTGGTTGGATGTTAAGATCTGAGATTAAAATAATCATCAGCCTTCTTTTGACTTCTGGGCATTGCAGGATACAGGTGCACTTACTTACATGCAGGCAATACAATCATACACATAAATATTTAAAAATTTATGTTTATTTAAAACAAGGTTCATTTAGGTGGGCATAGTGGTGTACATCCTTAATCCTAGCACTTGGGAGACAGAGGCAGGAGGATCTCCGTGAGATCTTTAGGCCAGCTTGGTTTATATAGTTCCAAGTCAGTTGGGGCTACAGGGAGAGCTTGGGGGTGGGGTCTCACTTTTTCTGAAGTCTTTTGGGTTCTGAAACACTAGGAGAGGCATCTTGCATCCAAATTATTCAGAACATCCCATCGGAAACAATTACTGCATATTACTGTGATCACAGATAACTCTGAGCAGCCAAAACTGCAGCTCATTCATCTTGTATTCAACCCTGAATACCGGTATGCATGCTGATTAAGATATAATCACATGAACACCTGTAAAGACTATATCTAACATTTTTGGTTGGATGTTAAGATCTGAGATAAATAATCATCATTAGTTTCTACAATTGTATATTCTTATGTAAATTCACACATAAGCCTCTCTTACATGAAACAGGTAAAGTATCAGGTTAACCAGTAATTAAAAGCATTTCCAATCAAAACCCACAGCATCTAATATTTAGCTATCTTGGGGCACTTCATAAAAGATTAATAGTATTACCAAGAAAATGATTTTAAAATACCATTGTATTGGCTAAGGTATAATATACTTTTATTGAGTGCAATTTGGGTTTCTTTCAGTTAACCAAATAAAATAAACTCTGTTACACTTACCCAAGAGCATTTTTTTGCTTTTCTCCAAAATCAAATGGAACAGTAATAACTACATCATTTGCATCTGAGCCCAAGACAGAATGTGCTGTTTCTGTACATTTAAAAATAAAAAATAAAACAAAAAAAACAACAAAAAAACAAATTGCTGATGACACACAAAAACAATGAAATAAGACTTTGTGAGGTTTCTTAGTCGATGCCCAAGATTTCCTCTTTGAACAGATGCTCCAACACACTTCATTGAGCCCCTGTCAACCTCCCTCTGGTGGCTCCTAAAACACGTAGCACTTCTTGCGGGTTTTGGTGACGGCTTGTGGACCAGGTACTTTTCAAAGTCTCAGAGCCTCAACAACTTCCAAATTAGATTGGGTTCCAGGGCACACACTTCAAGTGTACCAATGTGAAGACGCATCACATTAAACGTACACATTAAAGTGCTGCTTTCCACGTCACAAGACCTTAACAGCTTCCAAGCTGAATTAAGCCTTGTAAAGAATCCACTCCAGAATTTCCCACACGTCCACAGAATGTCACTCAGCTCACTGAGCCTTTGTCTGATATGATAAAATCAGACCTGAATAATCTTGAGAGGGCACTGCCAATATTGAAGTTCTGAGAATGTTAATTTAGGCCCATCTACTGGCATTACAGTTTGAACATTTGAAAGCTAAATGTTCCAAAAACAATATTCAACATGCTTTTGATTTTTAGAATTTTTTTTTTCCCACTTCAGAATTTTGGATCAAGGATTTGGCAACTATCCCCAAATCAGAAAAATTCTGAAATTTTAAATACTTCTGGTCCCAAGCATTCTAGATAAGGATACTCAAACTGTACTTCAGGGAAGGTAAGTTCAAGGTAAGCTAGTCAGTGGCCAAACCAGATCTAGTTTAGGTGTCCTGACTGCCAATTTGCTGAGTTACTGTTTTTCTCAGTATGCTGTGTTCATGCATGTCAAGGTACTTGTGTGTGCACAGATCAAAGGACAACTGCAGGTGCTGTTCATTTTTTTTTTTGGTCTTTTTGAGACAGAGTCTCCTTGTAGCCCCAGCTGTCCTGGAACTCACTATGTAGACCAGGCTGGCCTTGAACTCACAGAGATCCACCTGCCTCTGCCTCCTGAGTGCTGGGATTAAAGGCATACACCACCATGCCTGGCTCAACTTTTTTTTTTTGAGACAGGTTCTAACTGTCCTGGAACTCACTAAATAGGTCAAGCTGGCTGGCAGCGAGTTGCAGGCATTCACCTGTCTCTGCTTTCCTAATACTGGGAGAACCAATATCCCAAATCTATTTCTTTTGTCTTTTTGAGACAGGGTCTCCTTGTAGCCCCAGCTGTCCTGGAACTAACTATGTAGACCAGGCTGGCCTCGAACTCACAGAGATCCGCCTGCCTCTGCCTCCCAAGTGCTGGGATTAAAGGCGTGCACCACCACACCCAGCAATATCCCAAATCTTTTTAAGGTTCATTTAAAATTAACAGGTAAGAACTGGGCATGGTAGCACACGAATTTAGTACCAGGCAGGGGCAGGCAGATCTCTGTGAGTTCAAGGCCAGCCTGGTCTACATAGAGGGTTCAGGCCAACTGGGGCCACAGGGAAACCCTGTCTCAAAAAGACCAAAAAAATAAACACCCCCCCCCCAAAAAAAAAACCCACACCAATTAACAGTTAAGACAGGCTTGGTGGCGTGTGCCTTTAATCCTAGCATTCAGGAGGTAGAGGAGGCAGATGTCTGTGAGATTAAGGCCAGCCTGGTCTACATAGTAAGTTCCAGGCCAGATAATGCTACGGGGAGACCCTATCTTAAAAATAACACCCCGGCCAAAAAAAAAAAAAAAAAAAAAAAAAAACAACCCAAAATAAAGTTAGTAGTACCTTTCATTTTACTAAATATCAGTCTGGCAACATCTTCTGGATTAACAAATTTTGTTTCTTCTCCAGTATCTATTTCATATCGTAATTTCCCATTTTTCTCAATAACCTAAAAAAAAAAAAATTGTATTAACTACAGATTCATTTAAATAAAAACATGACCTTTGGCAATTAATTACTTTGTGTAACAAGGAGGTACAGGAACCATACTCACTAAACATTTACTCTCCAAGATGTATTTCTGAGCCTGTGGATCATCACAGCTGTCCATAAGAGATAAAGATAGCTCAGCATTAAAATTAGTAGATAAGTAAAGTTTAAAGTATGTTTCAATACCATCAAATATCAAACTACAACAAAATTATTGAACTGATCGATAAGAGGCCAGAATTAAATGGAATATTTACAAGTTATGCTAATTAAATTACACTTTGCATTGAAAAGTAATGTTTTTCACCTTGCCATGCATTTTTGAATGACTTTTAATACTATGAATGGTTTTATATCCTAGACTTTCATACCTCTGACCCTGAAGATCCAACCACCAAGACTAAAGGGTAAGATTGTACACTCAGGGTAAAGACATAATCTCACCTTTGTTGTTTGGTTTCTAAACAAAATCAACCCCCAAACCAAAATACTGAGCAAAAGCAGGAATGTTGTACATGGGAAGTTGTACTCCCATAGGCATATACAAATAAAATTATAGATGCCCCATATAAAATGCTTAATAACTATTTATGAAATGAAAAATGGTTATGTTGTTCAAGATGTTAATACTAACAATATTTTCACATTTACAACCTAATCAATTCTTGTACTATCAAGTGGGATAGCTCTGGTCTATGTTATTTTAGAGATAAGCATGTTTAGGAAGTGGTAATTACTTATAATCTAATAAAGGGCAAAGCCTAGACTTGACCCCAGGCTACACTAAGCATCCTACTTTGTAGTCTTGTAAGGAACTGTGGCTATTTTATATAGAAACCAGTCTTAAATGTTTACTAACAGCTGAAAATTAATAGCTGCTAATTGTGAGTTCTAGGGCATCTGAGGACCTTAACCTATGTAAATTCAAGAGACAAAGGGGTTTTAAATAAGCTAATTTGGTTTAGATCTGTGTAATTACTTGCAGATTCATGTTCCTCTTTTGTCGCCCAAAAATTAAGAACCAGGAGGACAAAGCCAACTAGCCCCTAACTGGCCACATCAGATCTTCAGTATAAAGTTGAGTATCCTTTTTATGAAACTGCCTTTTCCTCCCTTTTTCTAAGCCTTATAGTCCATACCAAATAGTTTAAGAGTAGAACAAAAAAAGATGAAGTACATTCAGAGTGAGATCTTGCACCCATGTAATAATTTCATCAGAAGATTGACATGTTTAGAACTCAAGCTGACTAGGATAACTTATTCTATTATATATAGGTTAACTACCACTAAGACAGGGTAATCTTCAAGGAAGGGTATTTTATGGAATTTACAGAACTCTTAGAAACCCATCATTTCTCAGCTCATGCAGAGGGCCTCTTTCATTTGAGGACAGAACACACATGTAGCTTGGAGGGCCACACATACATAAGACACCAGAGACGCACAGGCAGCCATGCAGAAAGCAGAGAAGGGAGGTGACAAAGGACCACAGTTAAAATTACAAAGTAGCGGACAGACCCACAACTATACATAAGTTAAAACTTTATTTGTCCACACCAGGATTAAGTTATGTAACAGAAAAACAAGGGTTGTGGGAGGCTGGTATACATAGCACCTCTTTCATATCATGGCCTTTAGGTGGTGTTAATCCTATCAGTACATCACAACCTTTTATCAACAATGCAATGTTCACTTTCTCCTCAAGCATCTCTTACACATCAGGCCCCTGGACTGGACTGGACAACAGGAGCACTTAAGTGCTATGGGGTCTCCTCTACTCCTGCTACATTACAGTGCCTACATGTCCAACAGTGTACACTCATCGTTCAGATCCTCACAACACCCCTGTGAGGTAGGGAGGTAGGTAAGTAGGACAATTGTTAGTTTCCATGTAGATAAGGAGCCTGAGTTACAGAATGGTGAAGCTTCTTGGAGATCCAGGTAGCAATGGGTGGGCCTGGGGCTTTAAGCAGGGTTTCCCAGCCTGCTTTCTTGTACATGGTCTCCACTATTGTGACTTCCCCTCAGTATTTTTGTAGGTTTTCTTACTAACTTCTCCAGGACCTTTCCCTTGAGTTTTATTCTCCTGGGTTTTGCCCATTATACTTTTCACAAGACTACCTCCAAACTTCAGCTCCATTTCTGTTCCTTAGCATTTCTCTTATCTCAAACAAATCCCTATCTATATATTTTGCTACCATTAGAATTCTGTGGTACAGGTCTAATTCTCCTTAAAGTACTTCCCTGTTTTTCCAGAAAACTTACTATCTATATTAGCCTCATTTGGTTACAACAGACATGTATCTATCTTTGCACATAATGGCCTAAAACGAGATCAAGTACATCTCTACATCCACCTCAATCCCTTTCCCTGAAAGGATGTCCAGTGTGGTGCTCAGAACTTCACTGGCACATTAACAAACATTAATACCATACAGTGCTTCCTCAAATACAATCATTAGCAGTATTTCAATCTAGAGATAAAATAAATTGAGGCACAAATAGGGTGTTATCCAATGAAAACAACTGCCACAGGATGAGTCCAGTTCTACCAAGATTCTGGTGCATTCTACCACTCACTGCTTCATGTAGCAGTGCCCATTCCTACAGCAGCTTGTCCCTGCTCCTTATTCCGGGCTCCAGGGAGGTTCCACCCTTGTTTCATCCATTTATCAATTTTCATTTCCAGCTTCTAGGAAGCACCTGACTGCAATGCACAAAACAAAAGCTCTCCAACACACCTGACTCAATTTTTCCCTAGGTTCTTAACTGCAAGAAAGCATTTTAAATCCCCAAGACTCCTACTTCTGCTTCCCGAAAGTACTCTGAAAAGCACTAAAGCCTTAAGTTAGTTCAGTATGGCCAATAGCAGCTCTTTCAAAAGTCCACTGGAAATGTTATCACCTTCATCTCTCCCACAGATGTTATGTTGGGGTGAGGGGAGTGTATCTGTGGAGGGCTTGTACTTAAAGGGAGTTATCTTTGGAGAATGGTCTTTATCCGTATTACCTTCTAGAAGCCTCAAAGCTAAAGGCAAAACAAAGCTGCTCTCTTCTACTATATGCCATTAACTAGATGAACTTGTTTATACCATTTGGAAACATGTGATCTTGGAAAGTTCCCTAGAAGGAAAATTTTCTAGACGTCCCCTCTATAACAGGTAAGGCCATAAAACCAAAAAACCAGCTAACAACTAAGAGACTGGAAACTGATACAATCCAAGCTGTTTCCACAATGTTCAAGTGGAAACCAAATGTAAACATGTAACTTATGCATATATGAAATGCAAAGAATTTACTTACACTTACTATTTTATGAAATAGCCAGTATTTCACCATATCAGAAATTACCAATATGAAACATTAACATAGTACTGTGGTTTCCCATCAGCTCTCAATTATACCCTTATCTCACTAGGAACCAGTAGAATGAAGAAAAGCTGGCTTGACTATGAGAAGTACTTACAAGTAGAGAGCCAGAGGAAGAGGTACAAATACACATTGTGGCTGCAGAGTGAGCCAAAGAGAAATTCAGAAAAGTCATGAGGTCATAGCACACCGATCTTATAAACTAATGTGTTTAACCTAGCCTCAGCAAGGTCATAGGCATTAAGAACTTACATGTGTATAGTGCTTTCAAACTTTTAAACCCTTTCACATCTATTAGCCATTTGATCCTCACAACAACCCTGTGAGGTAGGCAGAACAGGAGTTATTATCCCCTTTTTCCCTTTACAGATGAGGTAAAAGAAACTGCCTCACATTAGTGAGGGAGCCAGGACAAACTAGCTCTCTTGGATTTGGTTCCTTCTGGTTTCTGTTAGGCCACCCTTCCATTTCTCAGAAGTGGAGAATCTTGGGAAGAGGAACTCATAAGCATATTGCTACTGTTCTGTATATCAATAGTTCGTCTATCTCTTTTCTGAAGACACAGTTAAGGAACCAGGGTTCGAGAAGGCAGGTGTTGGAAGTAAACTCGTATCAGTTTGGGAAATATATCCTTTCGCAATCAGTTCCTAGCTTTTGGTATTGGAAATCAACTTCTGAAGCAACTTTTCCAGCCCTAGCTGAAAAGCGCCAGTTGCTTCTTCCACTGCTGTTGCCAAGCGCCTGACAGCGGTGACAGCATCCCTGTGCAGCTCGTTGGCAGTGTCTTGCTGGGCACTGGCCTCCTCACCAATAGCAATCAGCCTGTCCAGCTTCTCTTCCTCTCTCTTGGAGAGTTCTCGTGCCAACCGCCTGTTTTCTGCCAACTCAGCCGCAATTGTCCTGGCCACTGAGCGCCTTCTTCGCCTTGCCCACCGTGGAGGGGGCTCACTGGTCAGAGGTCTATCCCTGCCCGAGATAAAAGCAACACTGGAAGAAGAGCCTGCAGGGTGCGGTGTGGAGGCTGCCCCGAGAGGGGTTCGGCTGCTGCTGGTGCAGGGACTGGACTCCCTCGACACAGTCGACACAGTCAGTCTGGTCATAGGGCTGCTCTGACAGGGAGCAACTGCACCTCTGAAAAGGTTGTGGGAGCTGCTGTAGGTGGGGGTCCCTTGAGAGCACCCTGAAAAACAAAGCAACAATGTTGCAAAGAGGACATTCCTGCTAAGGGAATGCTTGAAGCTGACAGCAGAGCTGAGAAAAGTCATAAAACTAGGTAGTTTTGGGAAGGCCTTTCTACAAAGGACTGAATTAAAAAAAAAAAAAAAAAAAAAAAGACTGGGTCTCACTATGTAGCCCTGGCTAACTTAACTCACAGCAATCTGCCTGCCTTTGCCTCCTCCCCAGCGCTGGGATTAAAGGTGTATGACACCACTAGCCTACTATGTGATCTAAGAATGCATCTTTAATGTGGATATTTTGGCCTGCTGAATCATCTCTACAACTTTCCCTGTGTGTTCTTGAGCCCCTTTCCATGTAGATATCTAACCCATTCTTTCCCCATATATTCCCAACTACCAATTACGATAATGCCCAAGGCTGGATAAACATACTCAGTGATAAGAATACTTTGCCAGGCATGCACAAATAATGCCCAAACTAGTTTCTTCTAAAGAGCATGCCTTCTAGGTATGAAGAGTTTGACTACCTTATATACCTAGGATCATAGTTAGAAACTTGGAGCCCTTCTTTATTCTTAGATTAAAAAATAGGGGGTGTGTACAATCAGACAGAAACTAGGATTATGTCCAAGAGGGCACCATCTACACTTTTACCACTATTTTAGAACCAAGTGATTCTGAGAACCTAGCCCTTCGAATGCCTGGGAGTTACCTGCACCTGAGGATTCATCCCAGGAGTCCTCAAGGTCACTGGCTTCTGGCATCGGGTCACTGATTCTCAGATGACAATCCTCATTCGATTCTTTAACTGTTTGTAAGCCAGGCTGATGACCAGCCGCCCGAGTCCTTCTTGCTTTCTGCATGCTGGGTCCCTTTTCCCCGGTAGTATCAGAAGTCACCAAGTTCTGGTCACAGTACTTGGCCCAAGCAGCAGCCTCCATTAAGTGGTCTGGGTCAGAGACTATCTGATTTCGAAGAAGCCGATCCAATGTATCATAAAAAGGACAGTGGGGTGGATCACCTATACTTGTAGCATGGGCGACATAGGCCTTTAAATACAGCGCCTTCAGAACTTTAAACTTGGAGCGGCATTGGCGCTCCGTGCGCCGGAAGCCTTCCTGCTGCATCCGCTTAGACACGGCCTGATAGACACCTGCATTATGATGCATAGTCTGGAGGCGCTGAATATACTCTGCCTCGCCTAGTATGGAAAGAAGAGTTTGTGTCTCCTGTCTGGACCACCGGATGCCTGTACTGCTACTGGTGGTGGCCATGGTGGGCTGGGAAGAAACACTACTGAAGCTCCGGGGCAGCGGGGTGAACACTTGAAGGTGGGGAACTTGGTGTGCGCTCACGTATATATCCAGGAGCCAGGCGGTTCTTTCCTCTCAAGGCTAATTGTTGAGAAGCTAGGTCCGAGGACTGCACTTCCGGCTGGAAGGCCACAGGGGAATGAGAGTTACAGGAAGGGTATAAGGATCATTTTGGCAGCAAGATAAGAACTACCTGCATGTAGATCACAGACAGGCACATGGCCGGGATATGTGCCGCCAAACTTAATGGCTTGGTAACAAAAGGCTGAGACTGGTCCAACCATGACTTGGTAAAAATGACCTTTGTCTGGTAGTCAGGCTGAGGAGGAAAATAACCTGGACATAAGGCAGCTAATAGCACTAGTAAGACTATGGTGTAGCGGTGTGTCTGAAGAGTACTTGTCCTTTACTAACTTTGGATCAAATATCATGGTGTGTCTATGTGTTACCCATCTGACTTACTACTGCACTCGTTTGCTAAATGGAGTGAGAGCTGTTCAGCTAACAAAAAGAGTAGGGCACACTATAGCAGGTAACGGTCGTCAACATTTCTTAGCCATCTGTCCTCAAATGGCAGCATAAAGCAAACAAAAGCACCATTGGCTATCAGGGGTAGGTACACAGACATGTTCTGTAGTTTCATTGTACCAGTCAGTGAACTAAAGCACTACAGCAAATAACACACGGAATGCCTGTTTTGTTTTTAACAGCATATGAAAATGGAATTCTTGAAAAATAAAAAGGTACTTGGAAAAGCAAATTACTGGTTCCTCAGTAATTCCGGCTTCAAGATCCATTACATCTCCCCTTTTCCCCCCATTTACAATTCATAAAATACTTGATTTCAATTTATTTTTAATATGCTTAGTGCTGTTTTTTTTTTTTTTTTTTTTTTTTTTTTTTTTTTTTTTGTTTTTTTTATTTTTTTTTTTTGTGTATGTGTTTATTACTCACATGTGTTTGTTTTGGTGTGTGATACGGTCTCCTGTAGCCTCAGCTGGAACTCACTATGTAGACCAGGGTGGCCTCAATTTGAGATCCACCCACCTTTGCCTCCAAAATGCTGGAATTAAAACTGTGCAACCACACACTTTAACTGGTGCCACTTAGGATAGTTAAATATGCCCAGTTACTAACCTGAGGTTCAAGGATCTAAGAGTATAATCACAAAAATCTAAATTCTTTCCAAAATACTGTGATATCATAAATACAGGTAAGAGTCAGTAAAATACACATATGTAAGTGAAATAAATATTAAATCTAATCGACAATCTCCAAATTCTAAAATCAACACAAGGGAATGTCTATTACTTACATTCTTATTAAATGAAGTGGAAACGACAGAATGGGGTTGAGGTTTAGGAGACCTGAACTGCAGGTCTATCTGATTCACATCTTTAATTTAGAAAACACCACAAATTCTATGCATTTTGATTCCCCATCTATAAATAGCAAAAGACAGTATCTGTCTTAACACTTTTAAAAATGTTTCTTATTCTTATTTTATGTATATGAGTGTACCCAATGTTGTGCAATGCCCGAGGAGGTCAGACGGTAGTTAGTTGCCAAGAGGGTGCTGGAAACCGAACTTGAGTCCTCTGCAAGAGCAGCCAGTGCTCTTAACTGCTGAGCCATCTTCCCATCCTGTACCAGTTTTTACAGGGATATTGAAAGGTTTCAATAAAGTAACAGATGTGAAAGCACTTTGAAAATTTAAAAACACTCTTACTGAGCTGGGGGTGGTGGCATATGCCTTTAGTGCCAGCACTCAGGAAGCAAAGGCAAGTGGATTCCTGTGAGCTCAAGACCAGCCTGATCTACATAGTGAGTTCTAGGCAGCCAGCTGGTGCTACAGGGAGACCCTGTCTCAAAAAACCAAACCGAAACAAACAAAAATCCCCCCCTCTGTTCAACACTGCTACTTTATTGAAAATGACAATCCCTTAAATTGTTATGGTAATCTATAATTTGAGAAGACAGAAGTCTGGCGAAGTAAGCTTCTATAATCTTCAATTAAAGTTACAACACAGATGATTAACCTAATTCTTAAGATATTTATTAAGCTGTTTCTCTAATAATTAAATTTGTAAGTCAACTGGAATTCTCTAATAATTAAATTTGTATGTCAACTGGAAGTAGATTCCCAGAAAGTGTCACAAAGGGCCATAAGGAGAAAAACCAACAGCCGCTACACAAATTATGACTAGTTGTAAGAGATTCTGCAAAATTCAATCATCAAATGAGGCAGTCTTTAAATTCCAACAGCTATTCTAATTCACTCAGTTTAAGTCTTCTAAAAATGTGAAAAGTCCAATGTACCACCTCTGAATGGCACAAATTTATCAAGAGTAAATGAATGTCGGCATTTATCCATACTACCAAACCTGTTGTCAAGAATCAAAGATTTGAGCAAACCCAATCATTGAGAAATTGTAATACTAGTAATTAAAAGTTAAGTGCCCACTGGGGGACTCTCTAAAATGACTGTCATCAAACTGGAGCATCTCTATTTTCATTTTACATTAGGAGTTATACGCACACTTTTGTTACTGTATCTTAAAGCACTTTATTCCATACCTTCTGCCAAGGATCTGCTTTACTTTTATTACTGTATTTGCAATATTTCTTATTCTACTTTGCTTTGCTGCCAGTCCAACCACCTGGAAAAGAGCAACAGATTACAATGCATGTAATTTTTCATTATTTTCTAGCAGAAAAACGAGAACAGAGAGTACCTACCTGCTCATTTTCTGAGTAAGCAACAATGGCTGGAGTAACCCTGTCACCTGCATCATTTGCAACCACATCAGCCCGGCCATCCTAAAGAAAAGACAAGCAAGGATTAGTTCTTTTTAAATGGTACCCTCTCATTACTGTGGTTACTGTGGCATTTATGCCAGTCTCACTTGGACATCTAGGTGGAAAGAATGGCATATAAATCTCTGAACATTTCAGATTCAATCACCTCTTTTAGTTTCCTAGATTTTAAAAGAAACAACAGATTACAATGTATGTGATTTTTCATTATTTTCTAGCAGAAAAACGAGAACAGAGAGTACCTGCTCATTTTCTGAGTAAGCAACAATGGCTGGAGTAACCCTGTCACCTGCATCATTTGCAACCACATCAGCCCGGCCATCCTAAAGAAAAGACAAGCAAGGATTAGTTCTTTTTAAATGGTACCCTCTCATTACTGTGGTTACTGTGGCATTTATGCCAGTCTCACTTGGACATCTAGGTGGAAAGAATGGCATATAAATCTCTGAACATTTCAGATTCAATCACCTCTTTTAGTTTCCTAGATTTTAAAAGAAAGCTTCCAGTCTATAAAGAACTGCCTCCCTTTTTTTGGTCAGTCACCTCTACACGGTAAACCGAATCATACCTAACCATTCTACACTCAACAGTAAACATGGTTACATCATTTTTTTTTTTTTCCTTTTCTTCCTTTGCCCACAAATACACCTTATTTCCCTTTCTACAAACAAAGTCCCTTGGGACTTTACAAATCACTGCTTAAACAGCAGGTAAATTCATTGTGACAGCTGCTTTGCTACTGAGTAAAGGTCATACCTCCCCGACCAAGCTCTTAGTTTCAGAACGGCATCAAGTGTGTAAAGCAGTGTCAACTCTTCAGAATCAGGCAATCTTCACTAGGCTGCGTTCCACCTCGCTCTCGGTGGCCCAGAAATCTCAGAGACCGCTCACCTCCGGGAAGCCCGAGCCCGTGTGACCCCTGGGGCACCAGGAGCCTGCTGTCAGAAACCACCCCCACTCCTGCATTCAGGGGTCCAGGCGTCCCAGGTGTGCTTCCAGGTATCCTTATAACGACTAACCCAGCCCCGGGGACTCCTCCAGGCATCCAGAGGCTCGGACGGCCTCTGAGCCCCGAGGGCATCCTGTGCCCACATCCCCTAGGCTCCTCCAAGAATCCTCGCAGCCACCTCCGAACACTCGGTAAGTTTCACACCTCGGGGATTCCCGGGTATCCCGTGGCCTCTCAATCCCTGGGAACTCCTCAGGGGAGCCAGCAAACCTGATGTCCCGGCACCGCACGGAGCCGAGTCCCCAACACCCCTTCTGGACGTGTAACCTCCACGCGATCCAGGGAACCCCAAGCCGGAGCCCCAAGGAGGACCAGGCCGGGACCCCGTGGCTGTACCACTCGCCGGCCACCACGCTCCCAGGCCGGCCACCCCGCATCCTGACCACCGGGTGGCCGCCAGGAAGCCCAGAGCCAGCTTCCCCAGCCTCACCTTGTAGACGGCCACACAGGCCGACGTGCAGCCGAGGTGCACGCCGATGGCCGCCATGAGACGGTGGGGACCACGGCGGCGGCAACCACGGACCCCGGAAAGCCACAGCTAACCGCCTCGGAACAAGCTCAGCAGGCCCCGCAGAGACTTCGCGCTCCCGCCCGCCCACTGCGTCCGGTCCGTCTTGCCGGGCTTGCCACCAATTAGAGTGAAGCTCCCGCCTTCCCTCGCGAGAGGCCAGCCAATAGCTTTAGTGCCTCTCTCCGCGCTCCACTAGGGCCGCACGGCGCAGGCTGCAGTGCGCACGCGCGAGTCGGGAATGAACGGAAGTGTCTTCTTGGCTCCTCCCTCTCACGAACTCCGTTCTCAAGAGCCAATGGGAACTCTCGGTGGAGTTGCGTCACCTGTTTCCGGACCTTTGCTGGCTCCTGTACGTCTTGTGGTTCCGGAGGTCCGGAGTCGCTGGGTCAGAATGCGGTGCACGAGCCCGGCTACCCTGGTGGCCTTTTGCGCTGCACTTCGGGTCTGGAACCCGGTCCCGTCTCAGGGCCTGGAAGCCGGGGTGCGGCCGGGGGCTGACTGTGAAGGTGAGCGGTGTGTGACCTGCTTGCGTGGCGGCGACACAGCGCTCAGTCTAGTCCTTGAACGCTTTGGCTTATCCCAGCCCTGGCTTTAAATAACATGTCACCCAGCAATGCAGTACTGCCCTTCCGTGCCTAAGCAAAAGCTTGTCTGGCCCACTGTCTCCTTGAAGCCCCGTTCTAGTTTTACTGTGAATATTAAATTTCAGGAAAAAGATCTAGTTGATTTAGATTTTGTGCAAACGCTGCCAGATTCGGATGTAGATACGAATGATGCTTCTGTAACTGAGGAGGCTTGCCTCTCCTTGCACTGAAGAGGTGTTTGAAGTTCATACTAATTTGTGACTCCCCAAAGGAAAATAAATTATGTGAGGGTTTCGCAAATTAAAGACATAGATAGCATTGGTTAGAATTTTATAGGTAGAAGTTGCTTTACAAAGGAGTGCATTAATTCCTTGAAAAGGTAATGATAAAAAAGAATGATTCCTTTTTTTGTTCTGTTTGCTTGGCCATCAGAACACCTGGATCCAGGCTTTGAGATGGTTGTGTCTACCTAGTTTTCACAAAAATCAGAAAACTTTTTAGAGGGCTGTTAACCGAAGAGAGTTGTCTAGTCCCTTCCTTTCGAACTATTGTAGCACTTAACCTTCGTGTTTCATTGAAGTACTTGGTTTAGATAGGCATCTTTTGAGAGATGAACTCAACAGGAAAGATACATGTTGAAGGAGTGGTTGAGTGTCGTCTGTACGGTATCTAAACAAAATCTTAATCACTGGTGGTCAGCTCTCTATCAGCAATAATTAAACTTTTCTCTAGAAATTTAAGACCTACATGTTATTTTAAAAATCCATTGTACAAGCCAGGTGAGATGGCGCATGCCTTTAATCTCAGCACTTGGAAGGCAGAGGCAGGGGTATCTTTGTGAGTTTGAGGCCAGCCTGGTCTACATGGTGAGTTCCAGGACAGCTGGGGCTATAGGGAGATCCTGTCTCAAAAAGACAAAAAAAAAAAAAAATCCATTGTAAATAAAGATACTTGTTTTTACTGTTACAATTGCTTAAAGTACTCATTTTTGGATAGGTGAGATGGCTCAGCAGGTAAAGGTGCTTGCTCCCAAGCCTGATGATCTCAGGACCCACATGATGAAAGGAAAAAAATGAACTCCTGAAGGTTGTCCTCTGACTGCCACACATACACCGTGGCCTGTGTGTTCCTGAACACAAGTAGACACAAAAATATTTTTTAAAAATTATTATTTATTTATTTATTTTTATGTGCACTTTATCTTCCTCTTCCCCTCCCTCTCTTCCTGTTTGACCCTGGCATATCTCAGCTTGTCATAGATAGGGACCAGTTGGCAACTGATAGCTGTGTACTCAGGGGTGACGGGCAGCAGCAAGAGCTACGTGGGGGAAAGGTTCTGATAAGACCTTTGAGAGTAGGCTGCTCTTTTATAAGATTTAAAAAAAAGGTCTCATTTTTTTCCTACATATTTAAGCTTCATTTGGGAGGCATGTGCTGTTGATTTGATAAACCATCTGTCATTGATTTTCTGTAGCTTTGGCCTGAAAACATTTCAAATGAGACAGAGAATCTGTATTAATTAAATGAGAAACTTAGCACCTTTTCTAAATTTATTGGAGTCTGTTGTGATTATTGACTTGCATGTCTGGCTAACCCGTGAATATATTTCATTTGTTAGGTAAAGAGGCTGTGTAATCACAGAGCCAGGAATTCCTCTTGAACAAGAGCTAGATTCTATACCTGGCTGTGTTGCTGCTTATGAGCTTTTCTTTTTCAAAAACTTATTTATTTTGGCTGGGCATGGCGGTGCATACTTTTAATCCCAGCACTCAGAAGGCAGAGGCAGCTGGATGTCTGTGAGTTCAAGGCCAGCCAGGGTTACACAGTGAGATCCTGTCTCAAAGCAAGCAAAACAACAACAAAAATTATTTTATTTCTTTTGTGAGGTGGGGCATGAGTGCCATGGTGGGCATGTGGAAGTCAGAGCAAAACTTGTAGGAGTTGGTTCTCTCCTTCCACCATGTGGGTCCTGGGAATCAAACTCAAGTTGTCAGGTTTGGCGGCAGGTACCTTAGGCCACTGAGCCATCTTACCAGCTCAAGTGAGTCTTTCCTATTAGGCACTTAATTTCCCATCAGTGTATAAATTAAAATACTATAGTATACTGTATATAACACAACAGTGGTAAAACATGTGGTCATGGACCACTTGGACCTGTTGATGTGTTTCTGGAGAGTTTTTCAGATTGCTTTCTCATTCATTTTGTTTATCCGGTCCCTATAGATACGTTTGTGAGCACTGCATTTAGGTAATGTGAGATTTGATAGGAAAATTCAATAGTTCCCAGATCTCTTTAAAAGGATTATATTATGGAACTTAAAGCCATTTTGAAGCAATTACAGATTCAAGGATGGAACTGTTTCTGGTGGGGAGGTGGGGAGCTGAGAGCCAAACCTAGGGCCTTGTGCTTGCTAGGCAAGTGTTCTACCACTGAGCTAAATCCCCAAATCCTGCAAATATTCTTAATAAAGAGAACCCTACAGCATGAACAAATGTGACCATTTGATGTTGTTACAGCAGTAAGTACTTGCATGCCAAGAACGTGAAGTTGCTAGCTTGTTAGGTTATCCATGCTGCACTTATTCTCTGCATGGAAGGTCAAGGAATAAACTTGAATTTGTCTTGCATGTGCCACCATTGTCAGAATTCCTTCCTTTTAGAAACTCTTCCCTTGACGGCCTTGACACTGTTTATCCTGTCTTTGCCTCCTGTCTCTGTGTACATGTTCAAATGTCTTCATGAGCTTCTAACCTCTAGATATGGCTTGAATGTTGGAATTTTCCAGTGTTCTGCCTCTGCCCATATTTATTCTGTCCACGTACTCTTCAATGCAATCAAAATCAATCTACCTAACAGTTAGTAAATCCTAACTAAATCCAAGCCACCTTCTTTCTATTCCGGATCTCTTGTCCACCTGCTGATTACTAAACTGCCAGTGTTCGGAAAGCTCGATACAGTTACATTCAAAGTCATCATCCCCCCTTTATTCCCCAGAAACTTATTCCTATGCTATAGGGTCAACATAGTTGACAAGCCTATTCTAGATTTTTTTCTTTCTTCCTTATTCCTAGCAGTCAACTAATCACTGTATCTATTGACTCTACTTTTTGATGGATTCTGGGCTTGTCTTCTTCCCCAGGTCTAATGCCTTGTTATAGACCGTCACTGATTTTGCCCTCTACTGTGTGGTGTCCTTCCTTCCTGCACCATTCTCCCATCTCTAGTACCCTGGGACGTTTGTCACGTTCCTCCCTGGTGTAATGTCTTTCAGTGGCTTCTCAGCTTCCTCCAGATGGCTTCACTGCCTTTGTTTTCCTATAGTGTCCAGCATGTTTTTCAAAGGATTCAAAATTGTTTTGATCTCTACCATGCAACTATTTATTTACTCTTCGAAAGTCAGATGATGTCTCTTACCATATCATTTTCAGAAGCTATTAAGAAACATAGTAGATATTCAATAAGTGAGCAAATTGATGGATATCTGCTGTGGCACAATTTCATGCATGTTTTAGTGAACCAAATGTGTATCTTCAAAATCACAAACTAGAATTCCTGACTTCTCATTTGGATCGCCTTGTCAGGATGACCTCTGAGGTTTAGAAATCACATGAGGATATATTGGGTAAGAGTTACAAGGCTTTGCAGGGTTGTGTCTACTTTGCAGGAAGACAAGAAAGAGGATGCTTAGAGACTTTGATGAATTTTTGCTGACTGGTAGCATTGATCATGACAGAAGGTGCCATCTTTACAGACAATATAATGAATAGTTAAACTGAGCAAGATATATGTCAGGAGGGATCTCATTTTTCACACTGTATCAGTGGCACTTAACATGGTGGCTTAGACATTGAACATTTTCATCATTGCCATTGGAGAGAATACAGTCCCTTTTTTCCATCCTGTCTCACTGGCTGTTCCTTTCAGCCTTTTCTGGGGTCTTTCCCAGTTTCCCAATTTCTTTTTCTTTATCTCATTTATTTTTTATTTTATGTATGTGAGTGTTTTGCCTGCATGTATAAGTGCATCACATGCATGCAATGCCTGCAGAGGCCAGAAGAGGGAGTTGAATCCCCTGGAACTGGAGTTATGGATGGGACTATGTAGGTGCTATGAACCGAACCCAGGTCCTCTGCAAGAGCAGCAAGTGCTCTTAACTGCTAAGCCATCTCTCCAGCCCTCTATTTTCCCAAATTCTAAACAGTGAAATTTCATGAAAATAAGCCCCAGGATGGTATCCTTTAGCCATCTCTTCTTATTCTGTAGAATCATCAATATATTTGAATAATGGTGACTTACACATTTCATATCATCCTAGACCTTACCCTGATTTTCAGATTTTTTAAATTGTGTGCTGTGTAACAACATTTCAGCCAACAATGAACAGGTATACAGTAGTGGTTCTGTAGGATTATGATGGGGTCGAAGTATTCTTATCACCCTGTGATGCCACACCATGGATTTTAATCAATTGTGTTGGTATAGATAAACCCACTGCACTGCTAGTCATATGAAAGTGTAGCACATACACTATGTATGGTACTTAACACATGTTAATTGTAATAAGGGACATGTCAATGGTTTATTTATTTATTTATTTATTTATTTATTTATTTATTTATAGTCTTTTTGAGACCGGATCTCCCTGAGGCCCCAGCTGGCCTGGAACTCACTATGTAGACCAGGCTGGCCTTGAACTCACAGAGATCCACCTGTCTCTGCCTCCCAAGTGCTGGGACTAAAGGCATGGGCTACCGTGCCTGGCTATGTATTTATTTTTAAATTTTTATTTATTATTTTTATTTTTTGTGTATGAGTGTTTTGCCTACATGTGTAAGTGCACTCATGTCGTGCAATGCCTGCAGCGGTCATAAGAGGGCATTGGATTCCCCTGGAACTGCAGTTAGGGAGGATTGTTAGCTGACATGAGGGTCCTCTGCAAGAGCAGTCCGTGCTTTTAACCTTGGAGCCATCTTTCCAGAGCGCTTTTTTTTTTTTTTAAATCATCTATGCTCTTCATACTTAGAAAACTTAACTGCAAGATGGCCTCAGGCAGGTACTTCAGAAGGTGTTCCATGGAAAAATTATACAAGATCGCTCCCTGCTTGCTGTTGACTCTGAAAAGGCTGCAAGGGAGCGAGATGTGGAGGGGCAAGGAGAGTGGAGTCGGCCAACTTGACTCTGTAGGCTCAGGCTAATGTGTGGTTTTGTGCCTTTGATTTTAACAAGTTTAAAAGGCAAAAATTGAACATGAGCTTAGAGGATAACTACACAATATGTTTCTGTTTTAAGCTAAATATTACAAAATAATCAAATAGTTTTTTTTTAAATCTTTGTGAGACAGGGTTTCCCTGTAGCCCCAGCTGGCTTGGAACTTACTTTGTAGACCAGACTGGCCTTGAACTCACAGAGATCCTCTTGCCTCTGCCTCCCGAGTCCTAGGATTAAAGGTGTGTGTCACCACACCAAGCAAAATAATCAAATAGTTTTTTTTAATTACTTAATTTATATGGTGGAAAGGTTACAATGAGCTAAGTTTAATTTATCATGGAAGAAAGAGACATATGTTTTCAAAACATTAGCACAGCCTAAGTGTACAGTATATAGATTCTACAGCAGTGTAAAGTGTAAGTGGCCCTCTCTTGGCTTCCCCCTCACTGACTTTCCCAGCACAACTTCCACTCCTGCAAGCTCCATTCAAAGTAAGGTTCATGTGCAGGTTCATTTTTGCCTCTTCTATTGCATTTTTACTGTACCTTTCTTGATACTTAACATTGAATGAAACCGGTCTACAGTACTTGGTATGGTAATGTCATGATCACCCTGTGGCTGCAGGCTGCATATGGCCTAGGATAGCTCTGAATGGAGTTCAACAGAAAGTCATAATCTACTTGAAACAGTTTAAGATTTTTTTGAGTGATTTTTTTTTTTTGGTAATTCAATTGTGTGGCTCTTGAGCATGAACTCTGTAGATGATAAGGCAGTGGTTGAACACACCTGCCAACCTGCAGCCTACACATAATAGGCTGCACCCAATAGCCTAGGTGTGTAGCAGGCTATATGTAGCATCTCAATTTCTGTAAGTATTCTCTGTGGTGGTTCCACAACAATTAAGTCTCCAGCAAAACATCTTAAAATGTATCCTTATCATTAAGTGATACATAACTATATCTGGAGGTTTTTACCTTGTTCCTACCTGGAGGCTGTTTTAGCTAGGAGTCTCCAGAGAAACAGAACCAGTAAGTAATGTGTGTGGTATGAGATTACATCTCCATCATAAATTGAAAAATCGTAAGTCAAACTACATTTAATATGCCCAGTCTACCAAGCACCACAGCTTTGCAATACAGCATACTGTATAGTGTATGGTATTTATTCTTACGATTGTGAGTTTGACTGGGAGTGGCGACTGACTTTCCAGCATCACATTCTCATTCAGAAGCCCATGGGGAAGAGGACAGCATAAGCGATGGCCAGTTGAGACAAGAGGCAGAAGCAGCATACTTGATAAGATTTCAGGTTTTGGAATTATCAGTCATTATTAGATTTTTATGTTTAAAGAAACAAAAGAACTGATAATATAAATTCAGAGCAGAGGCTGCTAAAGATGTCTAGAAAGAACCAATTAAACCTCTACAAATAAAATTGGTGAGATGAACAGTAGATAAGACACCAGTGAGAAAAGAAATAGTGAATAACAAGAGTTAAAGGTCTGTAAATATAGCTTTGTTGGTAGAGTGCTTACCCAGCATGCGTGAAGCTCTGAGCTTGACCCCTAGCACCGCATAAACCTGGTATGGGGTAGTCACCTATAATCTTAGCACTTTAGTGGTGGAGGCAGGAGGATCAAAAATTCAACTCATCACCAGCTACCTAGATAGTTTGAGGCCAGCCTGGGATACTTGAAGATGAAGAAAAAGATGATAAAGAATGAATTGCTGAGGCGCTGGAGACATGGCTCAGCAGTTAAAAGCACTGACTGCTCTTGCAGAGGACCTGGGTTTTGTTCCCAGCTAGCAATCATCTGTTACTCCAGTTCTGGGGCTCTAATGCAGCTCTTCTGGCCTTCATAGACATGATACAACATGGGTGCACTCATGTGCATGCAGGCAAGACATTCATACACATAAAATAAAAATATAAATGAAATATTGAAAAAGAATTTCTGAGAGATGAAAGGATAAAATAGGAAAGAGATAAAACACAATATAGATAAAGAAAACTCCAACATGTTAATTCAATTTCCAGAAGGAAAGGAGAAAGGATGTATGTATTAGTGTCTTCTTTCTATGATAAAAAAAAATCTGACAAAAGCAACTTAAGTAAGGGGATGTCTATTTTAGCTAACAGTTTGGGGGTAGGGCCATTGTGTAGGAGAAGGCATGATGGCAGGTGCTTGAAGTAGCTGGTCACATCAATCAACAGTCAGGAAGCAGAGAGAGCTGAATTCTGGCGCTCTTCTCTCTCTTTTTGGCCCAGGACCCTAGCCCATGGGATGGTGGTGTCTACATTCGATGTAGATCTTCCCTCCTTACTTAAACCTTTAACTTTCATTCTTTAGTTAAGCCTGATCTCTTCCTACTGTTTTCCCAGGGTTCTGGCTCTAATGTCAGGGCTGCTGTTCACAAACTTGAGTTCTGGCCTTGGTTTGCGTCTCAGCTTGCTTCTTCAGACACTTGTTCACTTGGGAAATCAGCTTCCTCCCACCGCAGGGGACAACGTGGACCCAGAGGCAGACTACTTGGGACCTTGTAACCTTTCTACCACTTAACAAGTTAGGTGACCTCTCTTTGACTCAGTTTCTCTCTCTGTAAAGAGAGAATAATAAAGGATACCTTAGCTTTGTTGTGAGATTTGAATGAGTTACATGAAATGCTTGCAACAGGGCCAGCAGCCATCATCACTTGACAAATGTTAACATGGTGTTAACCTGCCTGTGCTTCTTTTGTGTTCTGCCCTTTCCCTGACTCTAGACAACTGGGATTGAATATGGTTGTTTAAATTGGGATCAACTCCAGGTTCTTGATGGTGGCACAAAAACACTTGTCCAGACTACTAAGGGGCTTCATTCAGTACTGCAAGAAACAGTGATCCTCACATCCTGTAAGAGTGCTGGAGCCCCGGAGAAGCGACAGCGAAGCAGTTTTATTTACGACTTTGTAAGGCAGGCATCAGCAGGCATGCCGAGTCAGTACAGAGAACAGTGTATACACCCTGAGTGCATGACCCTTCCTCCTTTTTTTTTTTTTTTTTTTAAAATAATCAGAAGGGTACAGTCTTGTGCATCATCGGGGTCTTGTTTTTCCCTATTTCTTTTTACGTTTTTTTTCTTTGCAACAAAAATTGTGTATGGATCCATCTCTACATTTTATATCCTTTCTGTTTTAAAACTTACCAGATGCATGACCCTGCAAGCAAGCTTGCCTGTAATTTTCAAATCTAAGCTTCTGGTTTGCAAAAGTGTGTGGGTAGATTAACAGAGTTTGGGTGGGTTTAATAACTAGACTATTGGGCATTAGCAAGGGTTTATTGTTGTCTGTTCATTTTTAACTGGGCCTAAGCTGGCTTGAGGCATCTTTGAAAATCAACCGTCAGATGTGAATTCTAACAAAGATATAATACCTATTCAGAACTTTTCTCTGTGCCTAAGAAGTTATTCTATGGTCAAATCCTGTAAGAAGGTATCTTGTTTTTTAGGGTTAGCCAAAATTTGTAGAAAAGCTTTCATTTTATGTGGAATTTGGTTCCAAAGATTGATTAAATGATGATTCAGGAAGCTCAGAGTAAGTGTCCATTCATTCATGGCCTTAGTAACAGGCCCCCAAGTAATTCGTAGGGTTTGACTCCATGGTCACAGTGCACTGAATCATACCAATATGTTTTCATTTGGTGGGTGGGTCACAGACATGGGTGTGACAGAGATGAAGTGCATACAGAACTATTTATTCCTTCTAGTGTGCAAAGAATTCTTGAACCGATTCTACAACTCCTTGATAGCCAGAGGTGTAAACTTTTCTTTGGACATCATAGAGAAAGAACTAATTAGCTTTTGCTCAGATGCTAATGGAAAAGAAAACCGCCTGGTATGGTACAATTTTACCTTTCTTTTTATTTTCCTGTGTGCCTCAAGAAAACTGCAAATAGTTCCACTTTTCAACTTAGAGTTGGGTGCTCCAAACATTCATTATGGACAGAAAGCAGATATCAATCTTGCAGGGAAATATAATCCTATGGATTTTTAATCCAGGTTGTATTGAGTTTTCTTTCTGATTCAATCCCAGGTGAACACTTTTACATTCTCTTAGCTGAAATTGTAAATCTGAATTTATGAAGAGAATTTGCTGTTGGAAGAGTGGGTAGACTTTTTCATTTGTGACTGAGACAGTCAGTCAAATTTATCAAAACATTTCATAGTATCATTCACATGTAATTAATGAAGTATTTATATTTTGTTTTTTAGATTATGTTTCCTGGATTTAATATATGGCTTGTTTCAACATTGTGTTTTATATCAATAAAGACAATTTCAGGTTGATTCCATTTTTTTTTCTGTCACATTGAGCCAGCTGGCCTGGAACTCAATATGTAGACCAGGCTGGCCTTCAGCTCACAGAGATCCAGTTGCCTCTGCCTCCTGAGTGCTGGGACTAAAGGCGTAAGGTGTGCACCACCACACCAGCAGTTCCATTTTTCATCATCCTGGGCATGGAACCCACAGCCTTGTGCATGCTAACTACGAGTTAAAGTACCACTGAGTTATAGTACCATTGAGTTAAACCCCCAGAGCCTGTTCAATTCTTTTTTTTTTTTTTGCCTAAAGTAGCCATGTTGAATTTGTCAGTAAATCTACATCATTCGTTGCTTACCACTGACTGACACTCTTGTGTCTTGCAAAACTCTTGTCATTTGTTTGTACTACTGAGTTTTATATTTTTATATGTAGAAATTTTAAGCCAGGTAGCTTGCAAGGCAAGGTAGTGTTAAGTGATGGACGAGGTCATGGATGTGACAGCCAAACCCTGTCTCTTGCTGGCAGGGTGAACTTTGGCAGCCCTGGTGCAATAAGGGGATAATAATAGCACTCACTTCACAGGATCTCTGTGAGCAGTAAATAAGTTAATGCCTTTCAGAGAAACCAGTAAATGTGGAAACAGCCAGTAGCTCAGTGTCTTGTGCATTGTAAGATACTTGTAATTTAGGTGATCAGAGGGCAGGAGAGTTGGCTCAGCAGTTAAGAGCACTGGCTACTCTTGCAAAGGACCCATGTTCAGTTCCCAGCACCCACATGGCAGCTAACAACTTCTGTAACTCCAGTTCCAGGGGCTCTGACACCCTCTTCTGGCCTCTGTGGGCATTGCATGCATTGGTACACTTACATGCATACAGGCAAAACACTCATACACATAAAATTAAATTAAAAAAAAAAGATAATCACAAGGCTGGAGTCACTGTCTTCTGGTCCTTAGTCAGCTGAGGTTAAAAGTTGAGAGCTGGACTAAGAAAACGTGGCTAATCCCTGCTTTACCCTGCACTACTTGGTTTTATCATTGCCAGGAACACTAAATTCTTAGCATTCTCCTTCAGTGCTATTATCTAGGAGCCACCAAAGATGCAGCCACCAAGATCCTAAGTGAAGTCACACGCCCCATGAGTGTGCACATGCCAGCAGTAAAGATTTGTGAGAAGCTGAAGAAGATGGACAGCCAGATCTGCGAGCTGAAATATGGTATAACCAGAGCCAAGTGTTTTTTTCCAGTGTGTCCAATGTGTTGCCAAGCTTTGAAGCATGGGGCTGTGCTTTCTAAATGTCAGGCCTCAAAGAAAGGAATTCTCCACTCTCTGATAGGTTGCTGGGCTGATGAATGGTGCCTTGTGCCATAAGAGCACCAATGAGGGAAAGGAAATAAACTAATGTGCTGATAATAATAATAGTAATAATAATAATTACCCTTCTGTCAGCTTTCAATTTTAGGAACTAGGTTATTTCCATCAAATCAGGTTTTGCCAGATGAGGTAGCTTCTCAGAAGTGCCTAATAAGCAGGGGGGGGGCACTGTCCTATTTAAAATGCTGGCTTTGGCCTTATAAATTTCACATGGTTAGATCTATTCTTATACTGAGGAGTTGTATCTGGGCCAGCCTTTTGCATAGATGGAGTCGGTATGATCAAAGGCTGGGGAATTTCTTCCTTCAGCTGTCCTTAACATCTGAAATCCCACCAATGCATACGTCATTGTTAGGTGGTTACACACCTGCCATATTGTTGCAAACTGAGCAATTAGCAACCACTCTGAATCATTTTAGTCTTCTCAGCCCTTATTTCTCATACTACCCAATATGCCTTTGCACCATAGCTACACAGCAAACTTTAAATAGGGTTAAGGCTGAAGGTATCAAAGACAGCCTATTTCTTGGTTTGCCAAGCACAGACCCTAAATTCCAGGGTGGTTATTATGGGTAAGCGTCCCTTTTTATTGACTTCAAAGGAATGGGGTAGAGGCAGGAAGCCCTGAGTCCATATAAAATGTTTACAGATGAGACAACCATATGCTGAGGCTTTCATTCAACTAATTTATTTTGGAAGACTTGTACATGTGGGGGTTGGTCTTATAGGGCTCCTTAAAATATTAGAAAAAGTATCAGGTATTATTGGAATAAAAGAGAATACTTACTGATATTTTGGCAACGCTGGCCACTAGAGGCACTAGGGGAGCCAAAAACTAATTTTTGTATTGACTTTTTTTCTTGTAATTTTAGAGTATCATTAAGTTCCCCTTTTGATGTTTAATGCCAGTTACCATCTTTTTTTCTAGAAAAAAATGAAACTATTGGAATTTGCATGAAGCAATTTTTCTCCTTCAACCACATCTGTTGAATAGATCAATAGTTATAAAATATTCTCAGCTTATTGATGGGAAGAAGATGAGCTATCATGGGGATCTTTGCACTGTAGGCTACTAATAACTGGGCTATCAAAGTCCCTACTCTAAAATGCATTCTTTCAGGCTAGGCATGATAGTGCATGCATGTAATCCCAACAATTTAGAATGCTGAGGTGCAAGGATAGTCCTAAATATGGGCTCAACCTAGTCTACATAGCCAGTTCCAGCCTAGCTATAGAGTGACACTTTTTCTAAAAAAGCAAAAATCAAAACAAACAATAAAAACAGTATTATGGGGGTTGGAGAGATGGCTGAGTGATTAAAAGCACTCAATACTCTTCCAGAGTACCCAGGTTCAGTTCCAGTATCCACATGGCAGCTAACACCTTTTCTTAACTCCAGTTCCAGAGGGTCCACTAACCTAGCATCGGCAGGCACCAGGCATGCACTGTAGGCAAAATACTCATAAATATTAAAAAAAATCTTTAAAAAACCCAAAACAAAACAGTATTCTGCTAAGTCAGCCACAAAATGGTTAAGTGTATAGTTCGAGTATGTTTTGAATGAGGAAAGTGTCATTTGGTTTTTGACCTGAAAGAATTTTTTTTAGCAGAATAAGGGTTATTAAAAATTAAGGGTTTCCTGAAGCAGAGTGTAGATGACAGTTCAAATTAAAAGTGAAAATCTTTAAAATTAGAACACACTTACTGGAAATAATTTTGACAAGTTAGTTGACAGTTATTAGGTTTTTCTATTTTCCTTTTATGAGACAAAGTCTCACCTACTCTAGGCTAACCTTGAATTCATTATGCAGTCACGGCTGGTCTTGAATTTCTGATCCTCCTGCTCCCACATCCCAGGTTGCTGAGACATAGGCATGCACCCCTACTCCTGGTTTATTCCATACTGGGATCCAGTTCAGGTCTCCTGCATGCTAGCCAAGTACTCCAGTAACTGAGCTACGTCCCCAACCCCAGGTTTTTAATGTTTTTAAAAGTATTACTATGTATGTTCTTATATGAAGAGGGAAAAAGCAAGAACTTTAAAAATAAGTCAAGTTAAAAAAAATCCTTGGCTGGCACTAATTGTTTAATAAGGAGATGTGAGGGTTCAGGGCATAGACTTGGCAATGAGGGAGGGCAAAGAGACTTTCCTTCAAAAGAGCACATCTACCCTTTATGGACAGGGAAATTATAATCATGTGTGTTATAGATGAGTTTAATTTTTTCTTGTTTTGGGACATGATGAAAGAAATAACTGAGTTTTCAATATTCTCTGCAGATAATCTGGAAGCAGGTTATAGTAGTTTTGCTGGAGAAATTAGAGGGTGACGTATTAATTTCAAGAATTTTGGGAGCCAGGTTGGCATGTAATAACTAGTGTTAGAGAAGTGGGCACCACAAGGGGATGCAAATGATCATTGCATTCAGTAATCCCATAGGGCAGGGCATCAGATGAGTTTGGGTGGATACCCAAAATAATTTAGCATCACTGGTAATGTTCCCAATTTCACTCACAGATTTGGATTTCTCTACATTCCTGTTTTTGTTGTTGCTGTTGTGTTTTGAGACAAGGTCTCCCTATAGCCCCAGCTGGTCTGGAACTCCCTATGTAGGCTAGGATGGACTCCATCTCATAGTGATCTGCTGCCCATGCTTCCTGAGTGCTCCATCACAGCTGGTCTTCTTTACGTTTTTACAGGAGACTCTACAGTGTTCTATCTACCTTTGTGAAGATATGTCTTCTATTAAAGATGGACCATAACTCGCTGGTTCATGCCTTTCAGTTGGCCACAAGCAAGGCCATGCCAAAGACACTATCTCTCTTAGTCTTTCAACCTTGGGAACAGCTATTAGGGTACAGTTTAAGAAATGCTGATTTTGAGAACTCTGTAGTTACCCAGGCCCTTGTTTTGATGCAAGTATAATCCTTTAGAGGGAAAGTCAGAATGCAAATTATCCTAGTAGATTTATGCAGTTGCTTTTTCATATACTCAGAATTGGCCCTGGGAACCTGTCAGATGATAACTCTTCAGATGTTCAAGCCCATTAATAAAATGGCACAGCATTTGTGTAGAATCAATACATATCCGACTCTAGACTTTAAACCGTCTCCAGATTTTTTTGCATTCTATTATACAATGTAAATGTTACATAGTTTTTTTTTATTACTATTACATTTTAGTTTATTTATTGTGTGTGCACACGCATGTGGTGGGGGACTGTGTCTGTGCTACAACATACATGTGGAGGTTAGAGGACAATTTGTGGGAGTTGTTTCTCTCCTTCCACCATGTGGGTCCCTGGGGATCGAACTCATGTTGTCAGGCTTGGCAGCAAGTACCTTTACCTGCTAAGCTATCTCATTGGTCCATAAATTGTTGTTATACTGTATTGTTTAGGGGATAATGACAAGAAAAATCTCTGTATATCCTGTGCAGATTCAGTATTTCCCTCCCTGAATATCTTTGGTCCATGACTGTAGGATCCAAGGGTGCAGAACTCAGTGATATGGAGAACTAATAAGGATATGTATTACATTTTCATTGGGTATGTCTTGTTTCCCATGGAAATGGAAGGTTGGTGCCTTCCAACCTTAAACAATTGTTTCATGTCAAATGGGATGAAGTAAGTGAGTCTCATGGGATTTTTGTGTTTTGTTTCTTACCTGTGCTTTCTTTTCTGGTACTCAGAGAAGAAATGGGACTTGGCATCTGCGGACCTGCGGAAGATGAGAGTCACAGAGCTTAAACAGATCCTACACAGCTGGGGGGAAGAGTGCAGGGCCTGTGCAGAAAAAACCGACTATGTGAATCTCATCAAAGAGCTGGCCCCCAAATATGCAGGGATACGTTCCGGAACAGAGCTCTGAAGCTGGATGCCAATATACTGTGGATTGTAGTTAGAACAAAATGACTCTGTTAACATATGAATGTGTTGGTTAAGGATAACCAGGAATTGGCCTGTGTTGAGTGTCAGATTTGTCTTGCTATTATACCTCAGAATTTTGTTGCTTAGGCTTATGACTAACCCCGTGCATACTGCTGGCTCCTCACATTTGCAGTGTGCCAAAACCTAAAAGTGCCTTTCTTGAATCTTTCCTTCAAAGGCAAATTGGTTTCTTTTGCATTGCTGTGACCATAATACCCAACAGAAACAACTTAGGGGAGGAAAGATTTATTTTGGCTCATGGTTTCAGAGAGTTTCAGTCCATTAGATCAGAGAAGGCATGGTGGAGCATCTCAAAGCATCGTGGCAGGAGCATGTGAGAGAGGCTGTCTGATCACGGAGAACCAGGAAGCAGAGTGATACCCAAATTAGCGGCTAGGCTATAACCTTCAAACCTTAATCCTAGTGACCTACTTCTACCTAGTGACCATCTTCTGCCACAGCCTCCCAGATAGTGCCACAAGCTGGAGAACAAACATTGACAATGGATTGATGGAGGGATATTTCAGATCTAAACCACAACAGAAGGATGTTGTAAGTTATCATTGCTGACTCACGTGAGCTACTGAAAATTGATGGAGTAAATAGATTCTAAGAAAGAGTATTCATGTACATCTCTTTGTACAAAATCCTAAAATTAAACACACTGGACTAGGAAAAAAGGAACAATAGCTTATCTAATGTACAACTTCAACTCCGATAATTACCTAATATAATGACAAGTTATTAAAAATTAACTTCCATTTTTTGACTACAAATCAGTCTACATATTTTTTCTGTTTGGTATGGTAAGTCAGGATGTATTAGTTACCAGGCCAGCCTGGTCTACATAGAGAGTTCCAGGCCAGATGGGACTACAGAGAGACTGAGTATCAAAAAAATCTCTTATGCTAATAGTGGGACACAATACCTGACAAAATAATGTAAGGAAAGAGGGTTTAATTTGACTCATGGCTTGAGAGTACAATCCATCATGGAAGCAGGAGTGTGAGGCCCTTAGACACATGTCCACATTCTAGAAGCAGAGAGAGGAAAGCTGGTGTTCAGCTAGCTTTCATTGCAGGACCCCAGACTAAGGATGGTGCTGCCCACATTCAGGGTGGGTCTTCCCTGATCAGTTAAACCTCTCTGGGACAGGCATGGTGCACACCTTTAATCCCTGCATTCGGGAAGCAGAGACTAGTGGATCTCTGTGGGATGGAGGCCAGTCTGGTCTACATAGAGAGTTCCAGGCCAGATGGGGCTACAGAGAGACTGAGTATCAAAAATAATCTCTCTGGAAACACCCTCAACACCCTCAACAACATACCCAGAAGTATGTCTGCCAGGTGATTCTAAACCTTGTGAAGTTAACAGTCAAGGTTAACCATTGTACAAGGCTACAGGAAGTTGCTCTTTCCCATCAAGAAAACTGACTTAAACTTACTTAAAGAGCATAGATCAAGAATCCACAGAAGGGTAGTCAATGTTTGGGAAAATTATAACGATCCTCACATTGCCAAGTGACCTAAGGTATGTCACAAGGTCCTTCTTCATGTCGTACAGTAGATAGGCTTTTGATAGAGGATTAACGTACAATACTCAGAGCACATGCAGTCAGCTGGGAGCTTCACTGGTTCTAATGCTATTTTATCAGTTTTCAATATTTGCAGTTTCATTTTCTGGCCACAGAAGAGTAGAAAGCCCATGGTAGAAGTTGCCTTTGTGTGGTAGGTGGAGCTGTGGACACTCACAAGAGTACTTCCTTGAAACCCTTTCTAAGGTGATAGGAATGTCTCATATCTAGACTGGGCAGTGACAGGTGTCATCAGCACACTCATATGGTAGCACAATTTAGATCTTGACCTTTTATTATGCATGAATTCTATCCAATAAGCTGCTGTAAAAAGTATTTGGAGATTACCCAACAATTGATAAGAAACAACTTGTTTGTTTAAATAATTGAATCTACTCGCTGGGGATCCATTTGTAGAGTGGAGAAGAATTTTCCAGACTATAAGTATACATTAAAAGCATGAGGGTCACTTAAAAGATTATTTTTTATTTATTTATTTTAATTTTATGTGTGTGTGTTGCCTGAATGTATATAAGTACACCCATGTGTGCACTGCTCGAGGTCAGAAGAGGGCACTGGATCCCTTGGAAATTGAGTTCCAGATGGTTGTTTGCTGCTATGTGAGTGCTGTGAACCAAACCCAGGTTTTCCGCAGTGTTCTTAACCACCCAGTCATCTCTCAAGCTCCTGAATTGTATTTAAAAAAATTTTAAAGTTAATTTCTTTAAACATAAAAATTTTGTGATCTATTTATTAGTTGTACTTTGAGCTTTTCGTAAAACTTATGGCTTGAGCCGGGCGTGGTGGCACATGCCTTTAATCCCAGCACCTGGGAGGCAGAGGCAGGTGGATCTCTGTGAGTTCAAGGCCAGCCTGGTCTACATAGTGAGTTCCAGGACAGCTGGAGCTACAGGGAGACCCTGTCTCAAAAAAAGACAAAAAAAAATACCACTTTATGGCTTGAAAATAATGTCCTCTGATTTCAAAATTAGGTCATATTTCTGTGTCATTTTTTCAGGCTATAAATCTAGGTAAAAGGAACACTGCTTAGTAGGTCATTCAAACCAATGATACTGTCTTTTAAAAATTTTTTAAAATTTGCTTGTTTTTTTGGGGGGGGCAATGCATCTTGGTACAGTGCATATTCTCAGTCAATGAATCTGGGGCAGGACCTAGAAATCTGCATTTCCCATGTATGCACACAGTGTAT